TGAATATATATACATATTGGGTAGAAAGGAGTTGAACTTGTGTTCTTGTGTTCATCCTGTAGTTTTTAAGCTTGTAAAAAGAAAGGTAGTGGGCGATACTGCCACCATCTGGTATGGAGTGGTTCAATATTGATCAACAACGTTTGTTTTTGCTCCAGGTGTCCATGTGCAATGCACTTTATATGCTAAACATTTCTTACATATTTTCAAATTCTATCCTTGAAATGTTCATGTTTCAATTTCAGGCATTGCAATACAAGTTCTATTTTTTTTCATCCTCCTGAAATTGGTCAAAGTTTCCTGTATTATGCTTTGTAATTTAAAAAATGTAGAATTAGGTTCTGTATGCATCTCATTTCTTCATGTCTGTTTAATCTTACTCTCCTGTGGTCTTCTTTATCTTATAAAGCTATCTTAATTTCTTCATTTTACTTTTTTATTCATTGTTTCTTCACTTTTTGATTGATGATGCTTTTTATCTCTAATTTAATAATATATATATGTGCTGTTATGCTCTTGGATTGGAGCCTTTTTGTGTTCCATAGCATCAACAGGAGAAACATGGGATCTCATTTATAAAACATTGGGTAAATACTAAAAAGGGGCATACTAAAAGTATATGTATGCCAAACACCCAAATATGGAGTACGGCAAAAAAAAAAAAAATAAATAAATTCTGATTTATAAAACACCCAAAAAACCAAGCAATTTGCATCCAACTCTCCAACTCATGTTCGGCCCACTTCATGCCCACATTCAACTGTAAATGTTCCACACAAAGAACTACATATATCCCAATGTGTATTGACATTAATTAGGTAATCAACGTTAATTGTTATCAATGCATCTAGAGAGCGTAAAAAGGGCTGTTTGATCAAAGTTTTTGTGTTAGAGGTGGGAGGTCAGAAAATTACATTTTGTGGTCACCGTAAATAAAAGGAAGTGTTATACAGTAAATGACTCCTTTATAGTCTGGTGTAGACTTTCATTAATCACACAACAAGGACAAGCAGGCAGCATTGAGCTGTGATATCTCAGCTTTATGGATAAATTGACAGAATTATTTCGTTTCTAAAAGAGGCTTCAGGCAGAGAGTCAATTAATTGTTGAATATGTTTAAAACCAATCCGCGCTGGGAAGAGCCGACAGGAACCAGAGTGGTTGTGAACTGTGAACAAAAAACAAAGGAGGGACAACAAATCTATCTACAAGGTTTAATATGGCAGATTGGTTGTGGTTATGAAGCACCTTAAATATGTGTACCCAAAATATGCATACGGGTATGGATGGGTCTGAGTTTGCATGTGGGATTGCACCATTTTAAATAAATGACAACCTTTGCATGGAATTCAGCTCATGCAATTTTCAGGCCATTTTTGTGTGTATGCAAGCTTTATAAATTAGACCACTGGTGCTGTGGCATGTCAGGTGATCTGAGGGTGGGCTACATGGGAGGACAAACGGGATTTCAAGGGGGCCAGAGGATGGGGACATGTTGAAGAACTGAGTAAGAATTGGGGCAACTTGGCTAGTGTAGGCTTTCATGTAGAAGGGAGCAATACTAGCATGTCCTGGAGTATGTCTACATTTCCGAAAGAACCCATTTACCCCTTCCTCAGAGACCTTTAGTGCAGGTAAGGGGACAGAGAGAAAAGGTTTGTAGAGTTGTTGGTGGGGGGGGGGGGGGGGCATAGTAGGAGCAACCTGCAGTAAGCTGTTGAGGTTGTCCTTACTGACCTAAAGCCAAAGCCAAAAAACTTTCCTTCAGTGTTTGACAGCAAGATAGAATAGTTGTGCTTTCATGTAGAACATTTGACAGTTCTTGTATCAGTGGTTTCTGTTTTGGTTTTTTTTAAAGAGGAAATTGTGTGTCATTGGATGGTTTTTAGCACAAAAACAACTGTCAAAGTCAACATCAGCATGTGGGCAATTTAATTTCTGTGAATTTATTTCACAGTAAAACTCAGCTGTTAAAAAATAAAAATAGATAAAAAAAAAAGGTGAGTAAGGAAGGATTCTGGATCTGTTAAAACACACCAAAATTTGATTTTTTTCTGATTCAAACAGACGATCAAGGAAACTGAGTGGTAAAGGTCTTTGTTTCTTTGCTGGTGCTTTATCTTTAGTTTGACAGGACTCTCTGCCTTCTGTGGCGCCTGCGAGAGATGATGACCTCATTCTCTGGTGCAATTGTGAGCTTCTAGAAGATGACGTCATCTCAGACGCTGGTCGTTTTACAAGAGTCAAAAAGAAATAACCACAAAAATGGAAGAAGAAAATAAAATAAGAATCGTTTTGAAGTTCTGGCATCATACAGAATAGTAGATTATTTTTAGAAACAGATGACAAAAATAGCCAAAGAACGAAAACCTTTGTAGATGAAGTTCTGACAGTTTGAGAGTCTGACAGATGATAAAGCAGGTCAACACAAAAAACAAACGTTATTGAAAAGCAGGTAATAACAACATGAATCATGGAGGTGAATTTGTTTCAATGGATTTAATAATAAATGGTGAACAGAATGAGAGTATTGATAAAAATATTCAAGTATCCTCTAGTTGATTGCTTTCTGCTTTGAAGGGAAACAGACAATCAGAAAAAAATCCTTGTAGACCTGAATGACCCTTTGAAACACGTCTCCACAACCTCCCGAAAGGCATTTTATGAAGAATTTTCAGCTGATGTCAGAGAAGTGAAATGAATCTTCATATGTTTACATGGAAAATGATCAAAAGTGGTGCTACACTAAGCAAGGAAATAGTATATTCCCAACTGCACATATTGATATATTTAAGAACGTTTGTAATTAGTAATACCATCTAAAATGTACAATTATTTAATTACAGCCTTTTTTAAGATATGGAAACCTTTTAAAAACCGGAGATCCTTTACTGGTCTTGCTGTTGTAGTTAGCTGATATCCTCTGTGAATATAAATATAGACATTTCTTTTGATGTTTTAGATAATTTTAAAAGATAAAAAAAATTGATGAATGGAAATAATTATTAAAAGAGTGATGACAGTTAAAAATTTTCTGAGCAAACACATTTGGATACACTGTATTAAAAGGGACATGGTGGAAATGATGTCTTTTAAAGGGAAATTATATCACAGCTACATGTAGACACAGCTTTATATGTATTTAGTCTAAATAGTTCCTGACCAATAAGAGCTTAAAAGCCGCTCAGTAAGGAAGAAGCAATTACTTCAGGGACAAATATCTTAAATTCCTAGAACATGTAATTATGTAATTAAATGAAAGTAGTATTGAACTGGCTGTAATGGCCTTTGTTAGATTTGAAGGAAAAGGTAAGAGGTGTGGAAGCATGAAGGCATCATCCAAAGTTTGAAATATAGGATGCCAGTATCTTGCTGTGCCATTGTTTTCAACATTTGAAGCAGAATATATGGCCATATTAAAGTAACATCTCAATACATCAGTGAAAATAAAACAAAACAACTTAAAATATTTACACTCTTCTCAGGCATATAAACAGGGTTTGGGTCTGTCTGTCTTTGAAAACACTTGCTGCATTTAATATTTATTCATTTATTAGGTCGGCTTGATGCTGTCTCAGAAACACTAAAGCTAAAAGTGCAACATTTTTATTTTTTAATCACTGCTGAAATAACTAATAATCAATTTAAATTCAATTCAGTTTATTCATATAGCACCAATTCACAGCGCATGTCATCTCAAGGCACTTTACAAACAATCACCAGGAGAACTTCAAGTATCAAGTATTCAGTACAGGGGCTAGGACTGTTTCAACAGGGACACTGGCCCCTGTTGGACCCTGACTGGAAGTGCCCATGATATGGTGACAATTTATTTCTTATTATTATGAGTCAGAACAAGCAATACCTAACAGCCATCAACATGAAATACACTCACTAAAAGAAACATTATTTGTATTTAATTGTCAAAAACAAATAGTCACGTTTTGAAAAATGTTGACAGATCTGCTTCGGAAAACATTTTCCTGTCACCCATTTTAATGATTCTGATTTGTTTAAAACACTGACTGTCACAGGTATGGCGTGACTTGTCATCTTATGCATAGTATGTGTCTGTTTACACGTTGAAGATGGACCTAACTGGAGTAATATGTTGGTGATGCGGCTGGAGTCACATTTTAGCTTCATTAGCTGTGATGTGCTGCAGGGGCCATAATTCAGCTTTGCTTCCATGCTCTTATACTACCATGTTTTTAGTGCGACTCCACGCAATGAGGAAAGATAAGTTAGAGGCTTTTCCCAAAAAAAAAAAAGGAAAAAACAAACCACTGGACTTTGCTTCCAAGTTGAAAGACGTTTTGTTTCCCACCCAGGAAGCTCAATTCAAAATGTCAGCACAAGCTGCATGTTTTCAAAGCAAAAACAAAGGTTTTTTGGGCTACTGTATAAAGCATTGAACTCAACACTATTTCTGGCATTTTCAATTAAAAAAGCTTCCTGAATGGGAAAGTCCAGTGGATCGTTTTTTTTTTTACTTTTTTGGACTATGACCTGGATGACTGAAAATCTTCACCAGAAACAGTTAGAGGGATGATAAAAGGATGTAGGGCTTGAAAAGTTCTGTGTAGGCAACTGGACCTGAAGTTTCTTAAAAGTTTCATCTCTCATCCAAGAGGCTTGAGTTCTAACTGGTGGTGGGGAGCGCTGAGATTAATATACTGTAGGTGTAACAAAGAGTTACAGACCCACATTTAGAAATTCAGCCTTAAAACTGCATAGAGAGAGTACAAATAGAATGTGTTGATATTTCTTAAGACACACACACACTGCCAATGAGTACTCAAAAGGCCAAAAAACCTAGAAAGTTGGGAGTCTGAGATGTGTGTGGGAAGTAGTTAGGTTCAAAAAAGCTGTACAGAAATGTTTTTTCATCTCCGAAATAACATTATCACTACCTTAAGATTTATCAAGAGCAATCCGCAAAACATTAAAACTTCTACATGCATACATATTCTAGATGAAAAAGCAATTTTGGAGCAGCATTTACTTGCAAAATCTTTATTAAAAACATAGTAAAACAAACAACAACTGGTAGGTGTTTAATATCAGTTATTAACTCTACAGTAAGAAAGGCTGGATGCAGCAGGACATTTGCTTTTCTCAGGCTAACTTGAGCCATTTGTGCCTGTAGGGTTGTCTGTCACCTCTTCTTTAGAGGTATCTGCAGCTTCCAAATTGAAGTAGCTTCTGTGCTGAAATTTCAGCACCTCGTTTCCCCAACTGGTCCATCCTGGCTGAAGACTCCGGGCAAACAGCTCCAGACAGTTAGCTTCAGCTCCAATATATAACTTTAACACTTCTGTGGAATAAAAAAAAATTAATAAAGAATATATCAAATAAAATTATATTATATTACATTATAGGTAATGCTTTCTTTTACAGTACATCAATAACCATGTAATAACATGGTAATAAGATAGCAAGTCACACAAAATTAAGGTATATATGCAGGTATAGTATAGTAGGTATAATATAGTATAGTATAGTATTGTATAGGTAAACTATATAGGTATAGTACAGTATACCTGCATGTAATTATTACAATTGTATGTTACTATGTAACGACGGAGAATTTTGGTGGGTACCATTAGGTTACCACAGAACAGTTTCTATTATTGGTCCTTACCTACCAATCGCTTACAAATTAAATTGTAACTTATGATCAGGTAAATAAAGTGAATTTAACTGAAATCAAGTTATATATAAATAAGGGTTTTGTTAAGAAGATTGGCTTGCTGTCTTCTAGGTTTGGTTTTCTGTTATATGCCAAGTAATAATCTGCATTTTACTAGATAATAACTCTTTTATTTATTGCTGCTCAGTGCAGCAGTGGGTAGCACTGATGCCTTGCAGCAAGAAGATCAGGGTTTGACTCCCGGTCTGGGCCCTTTCTGTTTGGAGTTTGCATGTTCTTCCTAAGCATGTGTGGGTTCTCTCCGGGTACTCCGGCTTCCTCCCACAGTCCAAAAACATGTTTGTTTGGTTAACTGGCTTCTCTAAATTCTCCTTAGGAGTGAGTGTGTGTGTGAATGGTTGTTTGTCCTGTTTGTCTCTGTGTTGCCCTGCGATGGACTGGCGACCTGTCCAGGGTGGACCCCGCCTCTCGCCTGTAGACAGCCAGAGATTGGCACCAGCATGACAGAAAATGGATAATTTATTGCTGTTGGTGAAATTACTGAGTTACTAAGAAGTCTGGCTTTACCTTGTTTGCCCAAAAATCAAAGCACAACACTTAACAACATTTTCCTAAAAGTGTGTCTTGTTACCCAGTAATATATTGTTACTATGTTATTGTAGGGTTACTGATGTACTGTAAAAGAAAGCATTACCATATTATTTTTAAATATATACATATACATAGATAGATAGATAGATAGATAGATAGATAGATAGATAGATAGATAGATAGATAGATAGATAGATAGATAGATAGATAGATATAAACAAGAGGGGAAAATAGTTATTCAGTTGCTTACTCTAACACTAAAGTACAACTGAGAATAGGATACTCTGCTGTGAGACCAAATAGCCAGAAAGAAATCAGCATATCTTTCTTGCATTTAAATGTTGCCTTAGGTCAATGATTTTCCAGGAATCTCTTCTTATGCATACTGTAGCAGATGTACATTTGTCTACAAAATAATGAGGGTTTAAAAAGACGAAAAAAGCCTAACCTCATGGAAATGTTCTTTTTTTCATACAGACAAATAAACTAGGATAGCTGGAAATTCATACCAAAACTTAAGAGAGTCAAAAAAAAAATCAATAAATCTGGGTTTCACATCACTGGGCTGCACGAATCTCATATGAGAGCTCCTCAGTTGTTACCTTGTAATAGGCGGAAGACAGAAGTGTCAGCTGCAGACCTCCTTCGCACCGCTGAACAGGTTTTTTCCCTCTCTGTGAGGAGTCTGCCAGTGACCTTGGCTTTATAAGTGCTAATATTGCAGGAGAGGAACACCTGACAGATACGTTTCACTTCCTCTGCTACTCTCTGTTACTCTGACACTAACTCAGCCAACACTCAGGGAGTTAATGAGCTCAAAAGTCTGCTCCGAAAATCCATCTAACCTATACAATGTGTTGAATAACCTTACTTCTTTTTTTTTTTCTCTCTCTGTCCGTCACAGACACAAAGCCCCAGAGTGGAAAGGCCAAACATGCAGCTCAGTGACTAACTCGTCCTCACCTTGTGACTCAGCTCTCAACTTGAAAAGAGAGAGAAGGTTTAATTATTTGAAGTTTAAAATGGGGTGGCACATCATAACCTCTGGACAATGTTGCACACAAAAGAAAAGGTTTTGTTCTTTCTAAACAAGTAAAGTCTTAATGATCTTTTTTTTGTTTATTTTCACTTTTCAGGTTTGACTAAGTAAATCTACATATAAAACTTTGACATATTTATTTTATATTGATTACAATCTAAAAATCAAATTTCAGTGCAGATCATAACCAGGCTCTGGTGTTACAAGATGCATGAGGATGCATTCACTCTACACAAAAAATGAATAAAAAATAAAAGCAGCACAATAAATGTAACCCTAAAGTCGCCTACAGCTAGCATTAGAACAATATTTAAAGTAAAAGAAAAAGCTAGAAATGCGACAAATTTGGCTAAACAACTTTATTTAGCTGCTACACACATTGTAGAACTTAAAAACAGTTGCATCTTGGGCATGCAGGTGGCGCAGTGGTAAGCGTGCACAACCCATGAACGGACGCCTTAGTCCTTGACATGGGCAACCCGGGATCAAATCCGACCTTTGGTCCTTTGCCACATCTCTCCCCCTCTCTCATACCCCCTTTCCTGTCAGCCTACCGTCGAAAGTAGTAGAAACCAGTGCCATTAAAAACTCCAAAAACAGTAGCATCTTAGTGTTTCATTGTAACTATTACACATAGTCTATATTTAAAACATGTTTAAGAAGGATGTCAGGAGAAAAAAAAAAACCCTATTCTGTTCTACCTCCATAAACAGACGTGAAGCTTTTTTGCTTTTAACTGGCATCTTGGGCTCGCTGGAGGTTCAGCGCCAAATGGCCAGAAGACATTTTATTGCTTCTGCTATTTTTGTTGGAGGATCTATGATGCTGTGGGCCTGTTTGTCATCCAAAGACCCAGAGAACATTATCAGAGTATATGCTATTATGATCTATTTAAAATAGCAGATTTAAGGTCATGAGCTTCTGTCAGACAACTAAAAGTTGGCTAAGAGTGATTGTTTCAGTTGAAAAACAATCAGGACATACAGTCAAATAAAAAGGGATAACCATTCCAGACCAAACATCGACTTTATTCAGCGGCCATCTTGGTTCTCATTTGTTTTACGGGCTAAGCAATAAAGCATAAGAGAAAACCCAGCACACTAGATGATAGTGGAAGATTTTGAAAGGAGAACTGGTCAAATATCCTTTTTATTGTTTGCTCTGATCTTGTAAATTATTACCAAAGATTGAGTGCTCTGCTCTCATATTGACAAAAAGGAGTTGTAAAGGGTAGGTAAACCTTTTTAATGGTGTCACAGCTTATTTAATTAAATTCTTCTTTTTTTTAACATAAGAGTTTTTTCTTTTCTTCCAATAGTTAAATAAGTGCACATAAAAGGTTGGGCTTTTCAGGGTGAGATTATACAGCTGCAAGAAAAATAAAATTAATTGGGTTTTACATATCTCTACCAAAGAAATGTAAATACCAGAGAAAATGGGAAATTATAAATATGAGTTCAAAAGTCAAGATTTGTGGTTTAAAAATAGTAAAGAGGTGCTATTCTTTGATTCTTATAAACAAATTATACACTTATAAGGATCTTTATATTGTTTCAACATAAAAAGAAGTGAGACACATCTACCAGAGCTTTATTGCAACAAATGCATTAGATATAAGAAAAGTTACCCAAACTAAAAAGGAAAACATTTCTGCTGAATCACTGGATATTGTCCAAGGCAGCATAATTAAGGTAGATTTTTGTAAGAAAATCTTCCCAATCTGCAACAATGAATCAAGTGGAATAATCAAACCAGCTATAAAAGAAACCTACTGAGACGCACATAGAGTCACACATGGAGACAAGGCGCAATTTTTTCCTAATCTGTCAAATCTCTATAGTGTCCCAGCTCAAAGGAGGCATCATTATGATTCAAATCAATGTATGTTAATAATCTCCCACTTGCTCTACAGGAGGCAAGCTTTTTGTGCCACTGAAAGGGCACCAGCAAACAGCGGCCATGTTTCACCCTCCTTACTGCACCATAAATTGTGTTCCCCTGAGAGGGAATGAGCTGACGTCAAGCCTTACTTATTCTAAGTCCCTGCATGGCCAAGGTCTTACACAGGTTCTAAGCAAAGGGGGTAATAAAGATGGAGCATTTGGGACAAATCTTACATGCGTGCTTTAAAATGTTACTTTTAATTTTAAGTTATATATATTTTGGTTTCATGGTTGTAAATATGGAAAATAAAGAAACCTATCTTCTCCACTCTGCAACTAATAACCACATTAACAAAGAAAACCTCTGCATGAACCACAGATCTTTTATATATGGTTTACATTAAGTATTATTCCCAAATAGAGGTCACACCATAATCAAAAATGTTTCATTTATCTGCTCACATTATTGAGAATAAAATGAAAATGTCAGTTTTCCTCAAGGCCAACAGACTCCAGAGTTAGAGCCAATGCTTCTAAAGGAAGGATATAAGTAGATTTTATTTGCACTACAGCATTGTCCTCTAGTGGTGCAGTAAAACACTGCACCAAAATTTACCTGACAGTGATGGTTTCTGGGAGTGCAGGGCTGAAGGAACGCTCACAATCAGACGCTTATCTTCAACTGGAACATTTGGTGTTTGTAAATGGCTGAAACAAAAACATAAAAACTACTGTGTCACTTGGATATAATCCATCTAAAGATTTAATAACAAAAAATCATGCATACTAAGCCTTTCAAAAACAGCAAGAATAGCCCTTAAACCTCAGAACACACAGCCACCGTTCTGGGATCAACATGGAGATGTAGGGATGGTTGTCAGAGTCGATTAGAATGTGGATAGATCTAAGCACAGGGTAATACTGCAAAATGTCCTTTCTAAAGCCTTTTGAAGAAGTAAGAATGGCCAAGGAAATGTGCAATCTTCAAATCTAATTGAGGACTTCAATGTCTCTGCTTAAAGGGAGGCATGTGTGGTAAGACTTAAAAATAGAAATGCTGCGCAAATCTTCAGACATCCAGGTGACGGTAACTTCATTGCTTGCCCTCAGTGTGGATGACACCGGAGTCAAAATCCAATCCCAGGAAGTTGAGGATTTCACCAACCACGTCAACTCAGTGGACAAAAAGTTCACCAGAGAGGATGCCAACAATAACATGCAGCGATTTCTGGACCGTGCTGTGCTTATTGAGGGCAATGGGAGTTTTAATACGGGGTTTACACCAAGCCTGGAGAAACTTTCTGTTGTCGGAAATCTGAGTTACTGGGCTGACAAAACTCTGTTAGTCACAGAAGAGACAAGACAACAACACAAATATGTCAGGAATGGTACGCAAAGAGTGTGGCTATTCAAACTGGGTATTTTCAGCAACAACAAAAAATAGTCAGAAGAATAACACTCCATCTAACAGAGAAGAAAACAGAGCCCCTAAAAAATGTATTCAACCTGTCAGGAGTTTCCGAGAAATTACAAAGGGTTTTCTATAAACATACCACTTAATTTCAATTACAAGGACACCCCTTAGACAAAAACAGTTCCTACTAAAGCAGAACACACAAACCTTAGCTGAGCGAAGGTGTTTATTCGATCCAGTGCAGAGAGGACTGCTCAATATCCTATGTCTGAGACACCAAACTACAAAAACGCATGATCTAGCCAAGATACAGCTGTGCACTTGCACCTTAAGAGCAAAGGCCCAAACTTTGAAGACCAAAATGTTTAGATCTTTTACAAAGAGGACATAAGATTTAATGGATGGGTAATGGAATTCATCTTTGTTAAAGGTGAAACCCACCACTGAACAGAGGGGGAGGATTGCAGTTTCAGTGTCCGGGAACTAATTTGGTCAAGGTTACTCACTCAGTCTCCTGGAGATCTGAGATGAAATATGTTCATGTATGTTATCCTTACCCTGTTTTGTTTAAGTGCATCTGCACTATTCTTTGATGTCTAACATTGATCATATATAGTCTAGGAAAAGATGCATTCCCCAAATCTATTTGCATTTTGTGACTATAGGTCACCAGTTTCTTTTCTGTACCGGCCAGTATCTTTCTCCCACAGTGGAGTTCTGTTCGTGCTGAGAACAGTAGATACAGAGTTATTCATAAGTGAGCTCTGTTTCTTCCAAGGTCAAATAAGAAACTGGAATCAGACCAGAATAAGATGGAGCTCTGGTGTTTCTGGAATTCATCTCCCTTTTATCTTGTGCCCAGTGGGCTGTATAAATGTTTAAGAACCCCACCCCCAGGACTACAGTCAGAGATGGATTTTCCAAACGCTTTTAAATGCATTTTAAAGACAACGCTGGATCCTTCTCTGTTTTATTGAGGTGTGTTCTTTTCCTCTTTGAAAAAGTAAAAATCTATGACAAACAGATCCAAATTGATCCAATCCCATACAAAACAACAGACTCCAACAACTGAGAATAAAACATTGATTTACATTTGACTTGGAATGTGCTGAGGAGGATGGGCCACCGGGAGCTTGACAAGAGCAGCCCTCCAACTACAGATTGTTCTACTCTTTTTCTTTTCGTTATTTGACCAGGTAAACCCCGTTGAGATCTGGGCAGAGATCTGCAATACACTGTCACCTGGTTGCAAAATTAAGGCCAATTAATACATATGCACAAATATAAAAAACTATTTAAAAGCAGTGACACTGTTTCATAGAAGCTTGTCGTCTATCTTTAAGAACCGCTCGAAATAAGTCCAAAGAAATTGTCCAACATCTTGAGCTCAGACTGGAGCTGATTCCACGCTGTAGGAGTCAACACGCTGAATGCTTTCTTTCCTTTATCAGTTCGAACAGAGGAACATTTTGAGGAATAAAGACATTTGAGCATAAAAAATGTGAACTACTAGACCTATGCAAAAGAAAGCTTAAGTATGTTGGTGTTAGTCCAAGGAGTTAGTCTAGAGCGAGGGGACAGAATTGACAAAGACCCCTGGTGTTGAAACATTTTTAGAAAAAATGGGGGAAAAAATCACATTCTCTCCAATTTTTGTTTTGTGGATTAGAAAAACACTCAATACCATTTGTTTAGCATACCTGAGATTAAGCTACTTTGCATAGAAGAATATGCAAAAATCTAAGTCCAGTGATCGGCAACACTGGTGGAGGCATACCTTAAAAGCTAAGGATGGTTCCAGAACCCAGGCGGTCCAGAATACTGAGATATTCTGTACTTTTCAGATTTATATTCGTACCCTTCCTGTTCTGCTTTGTGTTGGTCTCTCATAAAAAATTAAATACAAATAAAATGACAGGATGTGAAATGGTTCAACACGTATGAGCGATGCAAGGCAATGCATGAAAGTTATTCACACCTTGTGTCACCAGTGGTTGGACAATATCGACCCAGCACCAGCACTTCATATGGCTTCTTGTGCGGCGAATCAAGAGGAAACACAAACTCCCCTGATGTGGTGACCTGAAAAACAAGAAAGGCAGCAAATGAGGGTAATTCTCTCTTAGCCTTTCCATAAATCAGTCATCTCTAGATGTCCACTACCTTGACCCAGAACCATTCGGCCACAACTTCTACATCCCAGTGTGGATAAAGCTCTTCACGGACAAAACGGAGGTGACTTGGTCTGTTTGTCACCCAGGTGACCACCAAACAACCTGGAGACCCCAGAAGGGGGACGGGAAGGCGTTTCAGCTGGGATGAAGGCAAAGAGCTGTATCTACATGGTGAAAGATAACGGGTCAAACCCGACATGATCAGCATGCAATGATGTACTGCATTCATGTTGACTACAGTCAATACAAACAATTAGATGTACTTTTAAAACTATATGGTCCAAAATATTTGTAGTAAACTTCTAATGAGTGTCTGAACCAGGTTTTGGTTCCCCTACACATGTTTTCATACACTAGTAACAATGCAATGTTATTTTCCTAAAGGAAGCTTAATCTTTTAAACAGTTGCAATGTTTTTCATGCATTTTATGTAGATTTGTCTATCAGTTTGTAAAACAATGCCTTGTTTCTCTCGTAAGAGATTGAAATATACAAGCTTTATATGGCAGAGTAAACAGATAGAGACTTGAAAAGTAATATATTTAACATTTGTATGTGAAGGCCATATAACCTGCGACTTCTTTTCACAGACTTGTTTTCCCACGGAGGATCAATAACAATGAGGTCAAACCTCCTCCCAGCTGTTTAAAAAAAAAAGAAATAACCAAAACAGTTTATGTTCATTGTTAAAAAATAAACATTACATTGAATTTTATTGTATTTTTATCACTTTCCTAGAGCCATCTGAGTGTTAGACATCTTTTCCAGACATTAGTAGAATTACAAATTGTCTACATTACTATTTCTTGTTATTAAACTCACATTGCAAAAGTGGTTGTATTCTTGTGAAATCAGAGAGGAGGAAAGCAGTATTAGGAGGTATTATATAGTCCTCTCCCATCAGTGATACCACTGCTGCCCAGGCCTCCCTGTTCTCAGTCACTTGAGAGAAGAGATCAACATGTGAAACGCAGCCTTCCTCTGTGAAAAGAGACTGTGTCCACTGCTGTTGATCATCGTTCACTAGAGGAAGCTCTTTGGCCATCTCACATAGCGCTGCAAGACTGCAGTCCTGGGAAGGAAGAGGATCTTTGGAAGTGTCTGTCTCTCCACCAAAGTATCCAACTGACCGTGCAGAATCCACCAAGGACTGTGTTCCTTCCAGGATAACGCTCCTGATCTATGACAAAGAATAATAAATAAATAAAATAAACATGGCATTATTTTGTGTTCTAGCTATGAAAATAGTGGGTTAAGAATAATCAAGAGATAAACGCAAATTTTTCTGTCCTGGCATATTGCAGTCACTTTTAAACTACTATAGCAGGTCAGCACACAATAGGGGTGACCAACAACAATATTGTTATCAGAAATCAGTCTGAAAAATCTGCCAAAAAAATGATTAATGGAATTAATCAGCCTGCCTCTAACATAGAATAGAATTAAACTTTATTGTCATTAAACTGTCACAAGTACAAAGCCATTAAATGTAGTTTGCATCTATCCAGAAGTGCTACACAGGATATAAATATTTATTTACATGTGCAAAGAGACTATGTATGCATGGACTATAAATGGTATATATAAGCAGAGAGTAATTGTAAAAGGCCATAAAATAAATAAAAATGAAACCTATATACAGACTACACAGGAAAGTTAGGATATGGATTTTATATATATTAGTGGGGTTATAATACAGGATAAATAATGACAGATAATAGCAGATAACAAATGTGCTGCTATAGTTGCGAAGTGTGTCTAAGTGTTATTGGATCCATGGATAAAATCTGAGATACTGCAAAACTCATAGAAACATTTCACTTGATGAATCTTCAAAATAGAAGTCAACTCAGTGTTTCTACTGCATTTTGCACCATATCTATTTATTTATTTTTGCACTGCTCTGAGCCTTTTGCACCATATCACTCCTACTGCTCACTCACTGCTGCACTTTATAAATGGAAATGTTAATTTTTGCTAAGCTCATGCTTACTGTCGGAAAGCTGTATTAAACGAAATTTCACTTTGTTTACACAGTGTGTACAAAATGATGATACAGTTAGTCTAAGTCACTTCAATCTGCTTTTATTTAAAAGTTCATGTAACTCTTTGGTGAATTAGAAATTGGTGAGTTTTTCTCATTAGATGATGTGAATTATTTTTCTCTAAGAAATATCACATGATTAAGCCACATTTAACATTAACCTCAGCCTTTCCTTCAACTTCAACAACTCTTTCTTAACCAATCAACCTATGGGAAACTTCAACGGGGAGTGAATACTTTCTCTCCAGCCAAGATCCTTTAGCTTACTGTCATACTTTTCACTTATGTGTAATTATTTTTGACAGATTTCCGTAATGGTGCATAACAATTGAGAGATTTGAATTGAAGCCTCTGTATAAATCCAGCTAATCTCTTAAGGCCTTTGAGGTTTTTTTAGAGAACATTACGGAGCATAGAATCATGAAGATCAATTAACACAGCAGACAGGTTAGGAATAATATTATATAATGTTTTAGAAATAGGTAAACCAGAGTTAAGGCTTCAAAAAACAAGCTTTGAAAAGCTCATGGTGCAATGTTCAACCTATCATCTGAAAATGGGAAGGGTGTATGGAAAGATCTCCTTGGGCTGCCACCTTATCGTGGTGGAGAGGTTTTAGTGTCCCAATGATCCTGGGAGCTATGCTGTCTGGGGCTTTATGCCCCTGGTAGGGTCACCCAAGGCAGACAGGTCCTGGGTGAGAAACCAGACAAAGCGCAGCCCAAAGACCCCCATGATGAACAAAATATTTGGATTCAGCGTTCCCTCGCCCGGACGTGGGTCACCGGGGCCCCACTCTGGAGCCAGGCCTGGAGGGGGGGCACGATGGCGAGTGCCTGGTGGCCGGGCATTTACCCATGGGGCCCGGCCGGGCTCAGCCCGAAGATGAAACATGGGTCCCCCCTTACATGGGCCCACCACCCGTGAGACGGGCCATAGGGGTCGGGTGCAATGTGTGTTGGGTGGCGGCCGGCGAGGGGACCCTGGCGGTCCGATCCTCGGCTGCAGAAGCTGGCTCTTGGGACGTGGAATGTCACTTCGCTGGTGGGGAAAGAGCCGGAGCTAGTGTGTGAGGCTGAGAGGTACCGGCTAGAAATAGTCGGTCTCACCTCAACGCATGGTTCTGGTTCTGGAAACAGTCTCCTTGAGAGGGGCTGGACATACTTCCACTCTGGAGTTGCCCACGGTGAGAGGCGCCGGGCAGGAGAGGGCATACTTGTTGCCCCCCATCTCGGCGCCTGTACGTTGGGGTTTACCCCGGTGAACGAGAGGGTAGCCTCCCTCCGCCTACGGGTGGGGGGACGGGTTTGTCTGTGCTTACGGGCCGAACAACAGTTCAGATTACCCTCCCTTCTTGGAGACCTTAGAGGGGGTACTGGAGGGTGCCCCTCCTGGGGACTCCCTTGTTCTGCTGGGAGACTTCAAACGCTCACGTGGGCAATGACAGTGAGACCTGGAAGGGCATGGTTGGGAGGAATGGCTGCCCTGATCTGAACTCGAGTGGTGTTCTGTTGTTGGACTTCTGTGCTCATCATGGATTGTCCATAACGAACACCATGTTCAAGCATAAGGGTGTCCATATGTGCACATGGCACCAGGACACCCTAGGCCGCAGTTCGATGATCGACTTTGTCATCGTTTCATCGGACTTGCGGCCGTATGTCTTGGACACTCGGGTGAAGAGAGGTGCTGAGCTTTCCACTGACCACTACCTGGTGGTGAGTTTGCTCCGGTGGAGGGGGAGGATGCCGGTCAGACCTGGCAGGCCCAAACGTGTTGTGAGGGTCTGCTGGGAACGTCTGGCGGAGTCCCCTGTTAGGCGGAGCTTTAACTCCCATCTCCGGCAGAACCTCGAACACATCCCGGGGGAGGTGGGGGACATTGAGTCCGAGTGGACCATGTTCCGTTCCTCCATTGTCGAGGCGGCTTATCTGAGCTGCGGCCGCAAGGTTGTCGGTGCCTGTCGTGGCGGCAACCCTCGAACCCGTTGGTGGACACCTCCGGTGAGGGATGCTGTCAGGTTGAAGAAGGAGGCCTATCGGGCCTTTTTGGCCTGTGGGACTCCGGAATCAGCTGATGGGTACCGGCGGGCGAAGCGTCATGCGGCTCGGATGGTTGCTGAGGCAAAAACTCGGGTGTGGGAGGAGTTTGGAGAGGCCATGGAGAAAGACTTCCGCACGGCTCCGAAGCGATTCTGGTCCGCCATCCGGCGTCTCAGGAGGGGGATGCGGTGCAGCACCAACGCTGTTTATAGTGGGGATGGTGTGCTGCTGACCTCGACTCGGGACGTTGTGGGTTGGTGGGCGGAATACTTCGAAGACCTCCTCAATCCCACCAACATGTCTTCCATTGAGGAAGCTGGGCCTGTTGACTCTGGACTGGGCTCTCCAATCTCTGTGGGCGAGGTCGTCGAGGTGGTTAAAAAGCTCCTTGGTGGCAGGGCCCCGGGGGTGGATGAGATCCACCCGGAGTTGTGTTGGCTGATGTGACTCTTCAACATTGCATGGACATCGGGGGCAGTCCCCCTGGATTGGCAGACTGGGGTGGATCTTGTTCACGAATGAGGGAAGAAGGGAGTGGGAGATCGACAGGCGGATTGGTGCAGCGTCTGCCGTAAAGCGAGCGCTGTACCGGTCCGTCGTGGTGAAGAGAGAGCTGAGTCAAAAAGCGAAGCTCTCCATTTACCGGTCGATCTAAGTTCCTACCCTCATCTATGGTCATGAACTCTGGGTCATGACCGAAAGAACGAGATCGCGGATACAAGCGGCCGAAATGGGTTTCCTCCGTAGGGTGGCTGGGCTCTCCCTTAGAGATAGGGTGAGAAGCTCGGTCATCCGGGAGGGACTCGGAGTAGAGCCGCTGCTCCTCCACGTCGAGAGGAGCCAGTTGAGGTGGCTTGGGCATCTGTTTAGGATGCCTCCTGGACGCCTCCCTGGTGAGGTGTTCCGGGCACGTCCCACCGGGGGGAGGCCCTGGGGAAGACCCAGGACACGCTGGAGAGACTATGTTTCTCGGCTGGCCTGGGAACGCCTTGGGGTTCCTCCTGAAGAGCTGGAAGAAGTGGCTGGGGAGAGGGAAGTCTGGGCCTCCCTTCTTAAGCTGCTGCCCCCGCGACCCAACCCCGGATAAGCGGAGGAAGATGGACGGATGGATGGATGTATGTAAAGATTTAAAGCACTCATACACTGTATAGCATCTTCCAATTTAGAACAGAAAACAGGGAGAGGAGCTTTCCGGCCAATATGCAAAATACCATTAGTGCTGGAAAACACAAAGCCATAGTAAGGCATGGTGATGGCAGCATGTAGCTCTGGGGTGAAACATAACTGCAGAAGACAGAAGACCAGCAACTAACAAATAAAATCAAAGCTACAATGGCATGGCAAAAAACAAAACTATGTTCTAGAAAAGTCTAGTCAGATTTTGCTCTTATAGTTCAGACCTATCTAGTAGGGGTGTGCATTGGCACTGCCCTCACGATTCGATTACGATTCACCAGGTAACGATTTGATTCAATTCGGAAGTAATTGAAACTTCACAACTTGTCCATTTGAGGCCAGAAAATAAACAGTGACATAATCGATTATGGCACGTTGACGCATCGATGCTGAATCGTGCATGCCCTGCATTGCAATGAATCGCTGAATCGATTATTGTTGACACCCCTACTATCTATTTAACAATCATATGCAAGTTTTAAAGTTGGCCTGTGCTTGACCTTTTTTGTGAATAAGAACACAAATAGATCAGTCCACAGATTACAGAACTGGTAGAGTATGGGGCCAAAATTGTTGCTTTATTATTTGCAAATGTGTGTGGAAAATTGTGCATCTGTATCTTGATTTGTGTGTGTGCAATGGGATTTGAAAATGTGTAAATGAAACTGTAAATGTGTGAGGAGAGTTGTGTGTCTGTCAAACAATCTGCAAATGTGTAAAACTACTTGTGTGTGTAATCTGGTTTGCAAATGTGTAAAAAAAAAAAATCCACAAATCTGCATTCAAATCTACATTATTACACACACAAGTAGTTTTACACATTGTCTCTAAAACAGATTGTTTTAGAGACACAAATCTCCTCACACACTTTCAGTTTAATTTACATATTTTCAAATCCCACTGCAAACAAATCGGGATACAGATTCACAACTCTCCACACACATTTGCAAATAATAAAGCAACAATTTTGACCCCATAGCAGAGTTTTAAGTCTTTAAAATGAAGCTGAAATGTGGTTCAGTAAAGTACATATTGCATGCAAATACACACCTTTTGAATTTCAAATAAAAAGAGAAAATGTATGCTAATCTTGTTTTCCTTTTACTTTACAGCAATCATTGTTTTGTTTTTTTCTATAGTACAAATTCATCACCATATCAGCACCACATTTACTAGTCATTTGGCCAAAGCTTAGAAGAGTTTCTATACTTTTGATACATTTTATATACATTGAAAACTCACCTTTTCGTGAAAAGCCTTTGCATTAATTTCCCCTTGGTTGAGCTCAGTATGTTTTCGCTTACGTTTCTGAAATTAAAATATTTTCCAACAGTAAATAAATATTTAATGTTTCTAAAAACTAAAGAAACAACAACAAGAAAAATATATAAACACTTGAAAGACAACTAAAACTAGCCCAAAAGCATCAACCCTGGAGTAAGATTTAAAACATTGGTAGGATGCTTCAAAATGTTTTTCAATGTGTTTGGCTGCAGCCTTATGTGCATTGCTCTTCAAACTCAACGTGTGTAGCCTGCAGCAGCAGCAGTTTACCTTTGGTTGTTTGTTTGTTTTCTGCATAACATCACTGCTTTCTCCACCCACACCGGTTCTAACCTCCTGCTTAAAATGGCTCTTTAATATCTGAAAACACTGTCTGTTAAAACTACACTTGACGTGTGATTTGTGAAGCCCTGTCCATCGGATGCATCGCTCATAGCTTCGGTCAATGAGGGACAGTGAGTCCAGCACCCAGCCTGAGTTGCCCTGCAGCACCACCGACATGCTGGAGCTGCAAAGGCACACTGGCTCATTAGACGTGACAGGTGTGTTTTCTTGTTTTGTCTTGTCGGCCACACCTTTTTTACTGCAAATATCACCGCGTTAAGATTTCATTAACAAGTAAACGATATTGAAAGCAACGAGTAAATAACAGTCGGCTCCTCCCAGGAAGTAGTTGGGGAGTCGTCGGTGAGACGTATGTGCCGATGATGACCGATTCGACTGTATGTGCCGAGTCTTTATATGAACGAACGGCGAACACTCCATTCCTAAGTCATCTTCAATTTCAATTCAGTTTATTTATATAGCGCCAATTTACAAGAAATGTCATCTCACTTTACAGTTCACCAGATCATACAGTCTAATTGATTCAAAGTTTTCTAATTAAGGAAAACCAGTTGATTGCATCGACTCATTGACTCGAATGCAACCCCTCACACTAAGCATGCTTGTAGCAACAGTGGAGAGGAAAAACTCCCTTTTGACAGGAAAAAACCTCAAGCAGAACCAGGCTCAGTGTGAGCGGCCATCTGCCGAGGCCGACTGGGGTCCAAGGAGACACAAAAAGCAACTGTAAATGGCGGCCCGGTCCAGTAAACACACAGCCAGGCAGACGAGCTCTGAGCCAACTCCCATGTCAGAGGATAAAGAGAGCACATCCAGACAGTCACAGTCAGAGAATCAGGACTACACTGAAAAACAGGCCCATCTCCAATATCTATAAACAAAGTTATTGATGGCGGCAGCACAGCTGATAATTCATTCCAAGATGGTGTCACAGCCAAACAGGAACAAATGAGGCAAAGCTACTATGAGAAAAAGAACACAACAGAGAGAACATAACATTATCTGGGTGTTTACTACAATACCCCATATGCCCATCATGCAAATGGCCTATGCCTAATATTAAAACTTATCAGCAAACAGTCTCATTATAAAACTGCAGGTTCAACCTCTCTTTGGTCAACTATAAATCACAAGTGAAGCTGAGTATTAAAAACTAAAATTTTCATTCATGTACCAATGTAGAGTTTAAGAGAAGTGTAGTAATATGCTGTACCCTAAACACACCAGGGATCCTTCCTCTCAGCAGCTGCAACCACCAATGTTTCCAACAACCTCAATAAGTTGCTACATTCATGCTGATTTGGCACAGTTTCTACCTTAGTCAGTTAAATAACATGTGCTCTCATTTTGCACATCTCTGATTTGCTGCTATTTTCAAATATCCATTACTGTAAAAATATCCATAGCTGTATATTTATCATTTATTCTCCATGTGCACAGTTTTATATCATTAAAACACTTTACAGTACATTATTTTATCTTTTAACTATTCATTATGTTATTCCTATGCATTTTTGTGTGACCATTCTTTTGTATAATCTTTTTGCTGCTGTAAACACCAGAATTTCCCCATTGTGGGACAATAAAGGAATTTTCTATTCTATTCTAATATGTGCTAGTACATATGAGAGTAAAATACTGTTTTTGTTCAAAATAAGGCTTCTTCTTAAAACCTTGTTCATTTTTATATCCCACCAAATCCACATGTAGTATCTAAAATATCAGTATAGAAGTGGCCCTGTTGTCAAGTTCCTTGTTTGAGTGCAAGACATGTTATTCTGATTGCAATTGTAGTCAGTTACGTTAGCATAAGCTTCAGGTAAAATACGTAGATTCGTTTTAAGCATCATGCTTTTAATAAATTGGGAAAAGAATTAGGAAAAATTCTGAGCGAAAAAAACGAGTCTTTTACGAGCGAAGTCAATTGAAGAGGATCCAGGAAAAGATTCGGAAGTCCCAGATTAGCTCCAGCATAACGACACTCTTTTACCCTTTACGTTTAGCCGAGAAACGTTACACACCAGTACGCAAAACATACCGCGATGCGAAAAGGCTCACAGCCAAAGCAAAAACAAACAGATAAGACGCAGGAGGTTTTCTAACCAGCGCAGGGACATGCCTCAAAGGGCCACGAATCGTCCTCGGACTCACGGTTGTTGATACCTAGAAAGTTTTGACGAGGTCCACATTTCCTAAACAATAAACAAAATGATTACTGTGTACGACCTGCGCTTCGGGAAGCCGCAGGATTCTAAGAAAACGCTGCGAACAAACGACTTGGACTTTTATGAGTTTCTTCAACTTGTGCACATGGTAAGGTTAACTCATGTACTGATTGTGGGATGTGGGATGGAACCCTGCAGCTTCCACTGTTTAGTCCGTTTGGTTTGGCCTGACCTTAAACATGTATACAGAATTTAAATACATTGAATTAGATTTTGTAGTTTTATGAATAAAAAATGCATTTAAACGGGTTATTTATCGGCTACATATAAATGGTATTGCTAATAATTTGGGCGAATCTCATGCCTGAATCTGATCCGCCTCTTTAGAGTAGTTCTGATTTAAAATGAGACAACCTGATCAATTGTTCCCTATGGAAGGCGGGAAGAAGAGGTCATATCTCGGCTTAGAATTGGTCATTCTGGACTTTGTAGTTCTCTTTACTTTGTTCTCAGAATTTTGACTTTAATCTCAGAATTTGGACCTTTTTTCCTCCGAATTCTGACTTCAATCTCAGAGTTCTGACTTCAATCTCAGAATTCACATTTTGACGTCAGAATTCTGACTTCAATTTCAGAACTCTGACTTTTTTCTCAGATTCTGACTCAGAATTCTCACTTTAATCTCAGAATTCTCACTTTAATCTCAGAATGCTGACCTGTTTCCCTCAGAATTCTGACTTCAATCTCTGTATTCTGACTGTAATCCCAGAATTCTGATTTCAATCTCAGATTTCTGACTTTTTTCTCAGATTCTGACTTTAATCTCAGAATTCTGACTCAGAATTCTCACTTTAATCTCAGAATTCTGACTCAGAATTATCACTTTAATCTCAGAATTCTCACTTTAATCTCAGAATTCTCACTTTAATCTTAGAATGCTGACCTGTTTCCCCTCAGAATTCTGACTTCAATCTCTGTATTCTGACTGTAATCCCAGAATTCTGATTTCAATCTCAGATTTTTGACTTTTTTTCTCAGATTCTGACTTTAATCTCAGAATTCTGACTCAGAATTATCACTTTAATCTCAGAATTTTGACTTTTTTCCCTCAGAATTCTGACTTTACTCTCAAAATTATTATGTTAATCTCAGTATTCTGACTTTAAACTCAGTATTCTGACTTTAATCTTTAATTAAGAATTGTGGATCTAAGTGTAGATGGGCACCATGAAGGGAGAGATGTGGGAGCACTCAGCTTCACTGACAAAGATGTGAGTTGTTTGAGAGGGCCAGTTACACATTAGTGGATAATAACAAAATTTGGCGACTTTTTACGTGCCAGAGGGGTCCCCATCTCATTAATGGAAGAGCAGAAGGTCATTAAAACAAGAGAGATAGTCTCTAAAACAGACATGGCTACAACTTGATGCTAACATGTTTGTAGCTGTCAGAATTCTGAGATCAAAGTCAGAATTCTGACTTTTTTCCCACACTAAAATGAAAAAATATTTAAAAATCAGTTTACTTTAAAAAAATTTCAGTGGCACTAACCCTCTTCCGTAGGAACATGCATTATTAGATTGTGATAAATATTCACAGGAACCTCAGGACTTAAAGTAATTACTAAATAGAGAAAAAAATTGGATTTTCAATGATAAAACTTTTAGGAAGGTAATCTAATTCTACTAGAAATCAGTTAATTAGATTAAAAACAAAAACACTGGATTATTTAATCGTATTTAAAGTAAGAATATAAGTGTGTGTATGCATGTGAATACACACACATAACTTATTTATATGTGAGTTTGTATATTGATTGTTAGAGAACATTCAGATTCGTGCATACCATTGAGGTATGAATTAATAACTTGCCTCTGACATCATTGATAAGCAAACTCCAGTCTGGTAGGTGGCGGTAAATGCACCTTAAATTGGTTGCCATCCAATAGAAAACATAAGAAGAAGAATTATTCCTAAAATCACAATAATGTTTTACACTGACACCACCAGCAAAAGTGATTCACCTTTTTAACCAACCGGTGACAAAATTTGTTTTGCAAAGATTCAGAAGTCAAAGTGAGCAAAGCTAAATTTCTTCATTCTGAAAAAAAATGTTTTTTGATATTATATGGATAGTTTGTGAAACTTTCATTTTTACTTAATGGTTTCAACTGCTGCAGCAAGGTGCAAAAATAAACTGCAATGCTGCAACAACAAACACATTTAAAAAAAACATAAACAACAAATTGTTCAAAAAACATAGTAGCTAGCATGCTCCTCAATAATGGACATAAAAGTTACCAGAGGTCAGGTAGAAAAAGAAATATTTAAATATTGCGCGACTAGCTCTTTAAAATATGTAAATGTTTGTGAACACATGCAAAAATAAAACTATTTAAAAAAACAAAAACTACCTTTACTCACACATACATTGACGTTCCAGGGTTCTTCTTCAATGCTGTTTGCAAATTCACACATGATATAACTGCGAGAGAATATTACCAATCACTGACACTTCAGTCTTAATAAAAGTGGAGTTGTGAAAAGCTCTGCAGATGCAGCAGGCATAGTGAGGGTGCAGACATCTGCAGAAATAAGAGAGTACATTTAGCTCATCTTTGCATTAGAGTTGGTCCACTCTATAAAACCAACCAGATCAACGCTTTTTCTGACATTTTGAATTGAAAAAGCTTCCTGGATGGGAAGCAAAACGACTTCAAACTCGGATACAAAGTCAAGTGGATTGTTTTTTTTTTTGGAATACACTATTACTTCCTCATCTCTGTGTCAAATTTGTCCAAATATCAATATTTTTTCTTTCATGTACAATTAAAGAGATCTACTAGATTAAAAACAAATTGGTTTTAAAGAAATACACAATTTTAGCTGATTGTGTGTGTTTTTGTTACTATATTTATATAGAAATCGCATGCAAAAATAATTTATTAATATGGGTACCCTAGCGTTAAGCAGTGGCTTACTTGATTTATGCCTTGGTCCGGCCCTGCACCTGCTGCATATCACACCAAAGTAGTTCTGCTTTGTACATCCAGGCGTGAAAGGATTTTAACTTGGTTAAGATGTTGTTGATTAAGAAGACTGATGGGTAATAGAGATTAGTGCTGCAACTAACAATTATTTTGCAAATCGATTCATAATCGGATAGCAAAAGGTTCCAACTTTGATAGTTCTAGATAGAGCATATTGACTTACAAAAAATATATATATATATTTTTAATCTTAAATGCAAAATGTTTATATATTTTTTACAATCTTGTTAAAATTACTGCTCTAAGTTGGTCTTTCTCTCTGCTAAAGGCATGTTTAAGAGTTTCTACACCCCGGCTAACAATTAGTTTATGATTAATTCAATAATCGATTAGTCCTATTAATTGTTTCAGCCCTAACTCAGACATTAAAAGAATAAAGTCCTAACATTATGAAAATAAAGAAGTAGCTTCATCTTGTGTAAGCAGACTTTCCCCCTTGTGTTCAAATGCTTAGGCCTAGAGTAGAGCAGTTTGGCTGAGCTGATCACTTTAGATGCTGAAAGCTCAATTAAACCTTCTTCTCATTAAAGCATCACAAGTTTGCTGCTAAAATCACTGCTTTATTCTTTATAATATTACTTTATTTCATTGATGTTTTATTTTACTAACAAAATTGTCTCAAATATGGCTCTTATTATCAATTTAATGTCATATTTAAAGGTTGAGGAAGTTTTTTCTTTTTTGTCCCACAGGAATTTGTCATCCCTTTAAACCAGAAATTTGTGTTGGTAACAACTGACCGGACAGTTGTTGACTATGGAAAATTTAGTGAGTAAATCTTTCCTGAAATTTCAGAAAACTTGCGAATACGGCACTAAAATCCCAATGCTGCTGATAACAAAATATGTATTGCATTTGTCCTTTGCTGCAGAGGAGCTTCAGAATGGCAGCACTCTCTATTTATTGCAAAACCAACACCAAGACCTGGCAGTTGCAGTGGAGGAGTCTATCCACTTTGTTCCTCACTACAACACATTGATTGAGAGTGGAACCTTCGAGTATTTCGCCGAGGGACAGGAAGCACTGCGTGAGTTTTTACTGTGGTTAATGAGGCTGCAGATATGAACATACCAATGATTATAGCTCCTTATTTCTATGTTTTGCTCCCCCCTCCAGCTTGTTCTCTTGCTGAGCTGGTGGACAATTCTCTTTCGGCCACTGCTAAAAACACAGGAGTCAGGATGATAGAGATCCGTCTGGTTGGTTCAATTGATCTATATTATTCATAGCAGATATGATGTGATCTTAACATTTGGATCATATTTGTTGTAATGTTATGCCTAATGGGAATTTATTTAACTCATTCATGGACTTTTTTTTCGAAAGATGTTTGACAAAAAACCTGCAGTCATCGTTTTGGACAACGGGTGTGGGATGACCTCGAAGCAGCTCAATAACTGGGCTGTCTATAGACTCTCTAAGTTCACAAGGGAAAACAGCACATTTAAAAGGTAGGCCGTTGACTTTCCAAATAGATCTTTACCTTTTAAATATCTCCGTCATATTTTATTTCTTTGAAATCTTTTTGGGAATCTAGTGACCAACAGGGATATGTTAGCCCTGAGCCTGTGCCACGTAGTCTCAACAGTGACATATCCTACTTTGGAGTTGGAGGCAAACACGCAGCTTTCCAGATTGGGGACTCAGTCAGAGTGAGTGTGTTTCCATTCCAACCATTGTAAGGTTAATGTTTTGTAAGTATGGTATGTTTATATCCTGACTTTATTAAGATCCTAGTCCCCTTAAGCTGGCAGTAGCCGGACTGATATGTGTAGAACTGAGTTGAGTTCTACTTGATCAATCTGGGATGGCTGCCGTTCAGTTTGTCCGTAAAAAGGAGGGATATTTAGAACAATACTTAAAGTTGATTGGGTGACATGCCATCTAGTACCTGCCTTCTATAATAAGCTTTCAGCCAACTGTAGCAGCGGATCGTGATGTTTAGTAAGCCGATAAATCAATTTTTTCCAAATCTTGTCGGGAGATAAGCAGACATCTTTCCCATCTACAAATGCACAACGTGTTACTCTTTTTTTCTGTTTTAAATGAAAATTGTCGCCATTTTTGCTAAAACTGAGTCAATTATCGACAGGTGAGTCATCCAGCTTAGCCATGTTTGTAATTCCCCAGCAAAGCCCTTCTGACTTTCCTCATTCCTACATGTCCCACCCCAAAAAACACTGCTGGCATGTCATTGGTCTGACCCGCTGGTGGTTCGGAGACGGAAGTATTAGCGGGAGTCTTTCAACATGGATTTTTTATGAGACTAAAAACTCAGATCTTGCGACAATCCAGTTTGTAGAGCGAGCCACAATTACAGGGTTCCCATGGGTCCTTAAAAAGTCTTAAAAGGCATTGAATTCTTCAAAATAAAACTAAGGCCTTAATTGGTATTAAAATGTCTTAAATCAGTCTTTCGTAGGTCTTAATTTTCAAAACATCATAAATAGGATTTTTTTTATTATGATTTGTTTTTGTAATATAAATAAAACAATAAAATTTACCCATTTTTATTATTTAAAAAAAATAACAGCTCGCCATTATTGGTTCCGTCCCGATAACGGAACCAATAAAAGCGTTGTTGCGGCCGGGACATTTGAGAGATGCGCCGTTTACTTTTTGTCTGGAAAATATGAGCAAGTGTAAATGTAACGTAAATTGGCTATCCAGCCAAGAGTTTTCTCCGTGGCTAAAACCAGGGGACATACATGAGGCACAGTGTATTTTGAGCAAGAAGCCATTCAAGCTTGGAACAATGGGAATTAAAGGAATAGTACACCCAAAACATGATTAGCCTTCATTTTCTACTCACCTCCATGCTGAACAACACTCTGGAGTACTTTTTTGATATCTCAAATGCATCTGGAGATCTGGGAGGCTTCTTGCTGTCTGCTGACATTCAAATAATGGAGGTCCATGGCGCCCGAGACAGAAAGGTCCATAAAAGTCCACAAAAACGTGTCAATATTCCTCCATACTGCTCGTCCAATGTAATCCAAGTGTCCTGAGTGGGTAGCATCCAGAATTTACTCGAAACGAAGTCATTTAGAATGTTTTTAGAGCATAAACAGTAGTGTATAGGATTTCCTAATAGCGCCCCCATGCGCGCTCACGATTCTACGGAAGCCGGCAGACCAAACCGGAAGAAAGTGCGCATTCAGCGTCTGGTCTGCCGATAATGCAAGCGTAGAAGAAGAAATGTGCTGTTTACCTGTGCAAAGAAAGAAACAACGAAAGAAAAATGTCTGAGGACTTCAGTGTTGAGGAAGAGCATGAGTTCTTTGCCGAGCTGAATGCGCTGGTTTGGTCTGCCGGCTTCCGTAGAATCGTGAGCGCGCATGGGGGCGCTATTAGGAAATCCTATACACTACTGTTTAGGCTCTAAAACGTTCTAAATGACTTCGTTTCGAGTAAATTCTGGATGCTACCCACTCAGGACACTTGGATTACATTGGACGAGCAGTATGGAGGAATATTGACAAGTTTTTGTGGACTTTTGTGGACCTTTCTGTCTCGGGCGCCATAGACCTCCATTATTTGAATGTCAGCAGACAGCAAGAAGCCTCCCAGATCTCCAGATGCATTTGAGATATCAAAAAAGTACTCCAGAGTTTTGTTCAGCATGGGGGTGAGTAGAAAATGAAGGCTAATCATGTTTTGGGTGTACTATTCCTTTAAGGCTGTGGAGTCACATGCGAAGCGCGAAACACAAAGCGTCAAAATCGCGTTACAGAGAAACACAGTATTTCTCAGTTTTGTTCCACCCTTTTCTCTGCAACGCCTCCACTTATCACCAAATCAAACATACTAAGAAAACCATACAAAGAAAAATAGCTGCAAAAAAGACTTAGCACTGGTTATGTTGTGGCTTTAAAACTGATTTGTTTTGTTCCCTGCTAAAACAAAGTTTGTGAATTCAGTTAAATAATTGTTGTTTTTTAGCTTTCTTCCTGTATGGGAAGCTTTTCGAAATTTGAAACATTAGTGCAGTGGTTTATGTTATAATAAACCTTTGGGTTAAGTTGTCGCAAGCAGGTTTTTCTTGTGTTTCTTGTGAATTTGGTCTTAAATTTTAATTTCAAGTGCTTCTTTGCTGTAGGAACCCTGAATTAAGACAGTTTGGGACTCTTTTGGCGTAGTTTGGGTAAAATAAAGACAGGGCAAAAATGGTGATTCTAAGGCAACAACTGGCGTTTGCCAAACAGAACACAAAGGCCTTCCTTATGTTTTTTCTAAAATAAATAAATAAATTAGAAAAACATCTCAATGATCCATAAGACGTTTTAGAAACCTATCATAATAAAAATAGAACATTCTGACATCCAAACACAGTGCTGGCAGTGTGATGATGAGGGTTTGCTTTGTTGTTTCAGGAGTCAGGACCAGGAAAAAATCAATCATTGAAACCACAAATTCTGCCATCTTGCTGAAAAACCTAATAGTGAAGCATTTCCATTGTCACATCCCATACTAAGGCTATACCAGAAGCACCAAAATCAAGTTAAGATAAAGTGATGTGCACCAAGTAGTGCTCGATGATATGAAGAACATCTAATATCACGATATATTAGGGCTACAATCACGATACACAACGTATATAACGATATGTTTAAATTACCTTCAAAAACAATAGAGTGCATCAAGTTTCACTGATATACTCATTCAAACTTTTGGTTTCAAATTTAAAACATTTTAATTTTTACCAGCTCAGAGTTAATAATTCTGCCTTTGGGTGTCAGTATTAGACCTTAAGCAAGATCCCAACAACCAAACAGGAAACAAAGCAAAAACACGCAATACTAAATAAAAAGTAAATTAACAAAGGGCTCTTTTCTGTATAATACAAAAAAAAAAAAATGCAGAATGAAAGAAATTCACTTCAAATTACAAAATCAAACGTTGAAATACCATCCAAAAATTGCAGCATTGTCAGAGCATCTCCAAACTATTTGCGTCCAGACTGCAAATGAAGCGCGCATGCAGCGGGATTGACGGCGCAAATTGATCACAATAATTAAAATAACCTGCGCTTTGTAAAGTGAAAAAAGTCGCAACATGCAACTTTTGTCAAAACAAATTAACATGGCGCGGAACCCCCATGTTTGTTTCGTTGTAAAGAGGGGAAATGTAACGTTAGTTTCTCAGGTAGCTCATCTGATGCTTTCCTTACCTTGTTAGGTTACAGACAGTGATAAGGTTGGCTACTTATTTTACTTTTAATTTCATTTGAATTAGCTTAAGCAGTGTTTACATTTACTTAATAAATAAATTAACTTGCAAATTATGAGGGCAAGGCTTTTAAAGTTTAAATCTTCTGGCAAAGATAAAGTAAAGAAGATCCTGCAATTTATGGAAGTAAAGCAGAATAAAATCCAGCAAGATCAGTAATATGTCAATTAATTATCTGCCACATTCCCATGTAAATATCTGTCTTTGGAGGATGTGTTTTTTAACACCCCTAGTTCTGTCATTTTTATTCCAAATACAATTTATAATTTGAACCACAGGGCTATTTTTATCTCTATGGTTAAAGGTACACTATGCAACCGGTGTTGATTTTCCAGCGAGGCTCCCCCCAGAGGGCGAAATTAAAAGTGCACTGTCATAAATATGCACAGCTGTTCTCCTGGTTTCTCCGTCAAGCCAGGCGCGGTTGTTTTGAGCTTAGCAGACAGGCGAACGCAACGAATGACTAATGCTGCGTTCACACTGGCGACAGAAGCAGCGAGTTTACATGCAAAGTCAATGGTTGACGTGCGTCAAGGCGCAGCAAAAGGTCCCGCGGCGCGTTTTGAGCAGCAGGCCCAGCGCGTCTGAGCAGCTGAAGCAGTGCGTCAGGCGCGTTTAATCATCTCACGCAGGGAGAGAGACACAGCGCTGATGATCAGAGGCTATGATCACTCCTCTTAAACAGTTTATGACGCCTAAATTAACTTAAAATGCAGAAATCTGCCGGCAGAATATGCAGTTTGGATTATTTAGATGAAAAACACCTAACAGCTGCCGCGGTGAACCGCGAGGAGGCGACCTGGCCAGAGGCTGCTGATGAAGGGATTCCTAAGTGCACCGCTGGTATGTGGGGGTCTGAGCGGCTCCGACAGAAAAAATATTGAAGGCAGGAGAATAATCTGAATGAACTGACGGCACTGATTACGTTTTCAGGTGTATTTTCTCACTTAAACACATATTAAAACTGCTTTATTCCCACTGATCACAGCAAATATAGCTGCAAGGCAGAGAAAGGATAGTGAAGCTCCGCCCAACGCGCATCAGACACACTTTTGCACCGCGCAGCCAGAGCAGCAAAGCTGCTTCAGCCGCGCGTCAGAACTAACTGGTACAAGCAGCAAAAATGAAGCAGCAGACGCGATTTTGCTGCTTTTGCTGCGTGAACGTAGCATAACTGCACAAAGATCGCCACTGTGCTAGCAACGAGCATGCTTTTATCTGGGGGGTGTAGCAGTTCTCGCCGTAAAGCAAGACTGACTCTCGCGAGACTTTTGAGCCTGTGGGTGCGGGTCGGTGCTCCTGCAATTGCAAGTGCGGTATTTCCCCCACAGACCGCCAGGGCGGCCGAGAATACCTTTGTTCAACCTGAAATGACTCATTTAATCATCCAAAACGTTATGGAACACATTAAGTAACTGAAAAATGTTGCATAGTGTGCCTTTAAGTATTTTCTCAAGTAGTAACTTTAACTGTTATACTTTCCTGTCTTAAAAGGCAGAACTCTTCTAGTCTAAAAAAAACAAATTTGTTGAAATGGGGGGGCCTATGGTTTGAACCCCTTAGGGGCTTTTAAAAACAAAAATGTCTTTTTTTGCACTTTATGAAACAAAGTAGCCTATATTTTGTGGATGTACAGCTACATTTCTCATGTAAGTTTGCGTAGTTTTAACACAAACATTTATTTTTCATATTGCAACAGAACAGTTAATGAGCAACCTGTACTTGTGTGCTTGTTTGTTCTGTCTAAAATGTTTATTTTGGAATAATGAGGTTAATATAAAAAATATTTTTTGTCCGATTCATCGATTAATCGAAAAAATAATCGTCCGATTCATCGATTTTTAAAATAATCGTTAGTTGCAGCCCAAAAACGGACACAATCAGCAGATTTTGTTGTAGACTGTCACCATCTGCTTGCCGTATTTACTCAGGTTTCGGCTCCTGTCATGTCCTACTTGGCATCCCCTATTTTTTTGCCCTTACTATCAGACTTGCTCTTGGCTTTTCCCACCTTCTTTTTACCCCTCCACTGGGAGTTGCTTGGCTCACTTACTTGTTCACTTCTTCCATGAATGTGCAATATTGTACCTCCGATCACATGGTCTGCAACAAGCTTATGTTTACCAACAAATAGCGTAAAAGAAAAGTTTAAAACACAGAAATGAAATTCAATAAGCCAACTGGGTGCCACAATATGATCTGAAAGCCTATGCATGCAGACAGAGTGAGCGACTAGTGCAAACTTTCGTCTTTGGAGTGAAGAATTAATTCTTTCTGAAATTTAGAATAGAAATATATAGGAGAAAGAAAGACAAGAAGAAAATATCTGTTTGTTTTAACCATTGTTTAGCTCATTGCTTGTTTTATTTATGGCTGTGTTTTAGCAATATGTACCGTCTTGTTCCCTTAGATCAGTAGGATGGGTTCATTTATCTGTTCCAAGACTTAATGCAAACTCACATAGTGGTATAGCCTTTGCCATTGCTGCTCTTAATCTGTAATTTGCTTTGCCACAGAATGTTAGCCAGCTTCACTTTCTGAGGTTAAAAACACACTTTTACTCTCTGGCCTGTAACCAGTGAATCTTTACGAGATGCTGACTGTGAATAAATGTTATTTTACTCCTCTTTCTTCTAGTTTTATCTTATTAGTCTTCATTTAATGTCAGTGTGCTTCGTGCTTTGTCTGTTTAATATGTTTTTTTTTTATAATTGATGGTTTATTAATTTGTAAAAAGTTACTGTAATATTTAACCTTCTTTAAATATCAGATGATCAGCAAACCAATCAGCTCGCCAGACGTTCATGAGTTGGTCCTGTCAAAGGAGGAATTCCAGAAAAAAGAGCAGAACAAAGAAGATGTTTACAAAGGGACCATCTTGAACAGGAAGGTGAGAGCTTTAAATGAAGGTGTTTGGTAAAAGTCGCTGTGATGAGGGAATAAGCTGGATGAACTTTTTAATTTAATCTTCTGTGGCAGCCTGGTGACTTCTCACACATTAAAGGCAACGAAGCCTTTCTTCAGGACATCATCAGGGAGGAAACTGGGAAGCATAGCTTCACTGCTGTTGTCATCACAGGAATCTGCCCTGAGCGCGTAAAATATCTAAAGCAGGACTTTAAAGAGTGGACCAGAAAGCTAGCGTAAGTTCGCTAATCCAGATTAAGTCTGAAATGTCAAAATGTGGGTCAAGATGAACAGTGAGCTGTTGTTGTTTTTTTTTTTTTTTTTTTTTTGTTTTTTAAATATGTGCTTCTATATATAAAAAAAAACAATTCCAGGCACTTTTATCATTATTACATTCATGGGGTCGATGGAAACCTTCAGAATAAGCCTCAAGGATCCAATGGCAGCCCAGCAATTAATATTCTGGTGAGTCTCTTTGGCGAAATGACTGTAACTGCTGTTCTCTTTAATCTCGTTCTCTTACATCAAAAATTTTTTTTTTACATTGAAAATGGATTAAATACGTTTTTTTTCCCCCCAAACATTTAAAGATATATTGGAGAATTTAGGTAATTCTTTTAAAAGACCTGACCTCTCCACTTAAAAAAAAAAATAAATGCATATGCACAACCCTCTAGCCACTCCAGAGAGGGAACACCTATTAAACGCCTGCGAGAGCGTGCATGAGCCCATTTCTCTTCATGCATGCTCTGTTTAAAAGTTGCTGTTTGCATCGCTCATAGAAGCTTACTTTCCAAAAGAACATTTACAAGTTTTCCTCTATGTCAGACTCTCCACTGTTAAGTGAAAATGGGGACGAGCACATAGGACAGCCTTACGTAAACATATAACCAGAATGATTGAGAATTAGGAGCACCGCTTATTTTGATGATTCATCATCAACTATACCTTTAAAAAGTAAATTTGTAGAATTACTAGAAATAGATTTTTTTATTTTATTTAGAAATTAAAATTTCCTAAGGAGCGGCGTGCTGTACATTGAACAACAGCAAACCCACACACATTAAATTAAAACAATAAAATATATGACAAAACATAATACTAAAAATGTCTCTAATATAAAAATAACATTGCAGGCTAAGATCAGCATTTCACGTGGTGTTAAAAGCAAAGGCAAAGAGAAGAGTTTTAAAATCAGACTCAGGGGTTGACTGTAATCAGCAATGGAAGGTCATGGAGCTGCCACAGAAAAAAAGTACAGGAATTTAAGTGTGGGATCTGGTTGGGCCCATTAAGGACATTAAAGGTATAGCGAAGGATTTTCACAGATTTTTTAAAAGACCTGCAATCTCCACTTTAAAACAAACTAAATGCAAATTCACAACCCTGCACCTGCTCCTGGGAGAGAACACCTATTAAATCCGTGCAAGAGAATGTACAAGCCCATTTCTCCTCGTGCAAGCTTTGTTTAAAAGTTCCTGTTTGCATCGCTCATAAAAGCTTACTTTCCAAAACATTTTAAATTTTTCCACTATTTGAAATACCTGCCTGCTGAGAATTTCCTCCCCTGTGGCAGGAACATGCATCGCCCTAAACATTGATGAGAATACAGATTGAAATCTGAATTAAAAACTGGAACTTTTAAACATATTCTTAATATTTTCATACTTCTTATGCATGGATTCCCTAAAATTGGGAGTATTGGTGGACTGATATATGCCAAGAAATACCTGCCTGCTGAAAATGTTCCTCCCTTGTCACAGGAGCGTGCATCACTCTAAATTCTTGCACACTGATAAGAAAACTGATTGAAACATGAATGAAAAGGAGTAATTCTTGGCTGTCGGGTATTTCTCCGCATAGGGTTAGGTTAAAATGGGGACAAGCACGTAGGACGGCCTTACATAAACATATAACCAGAATGTTTGACAATCAGGCGGACCACTTATTTTAATGATCCACCCGGAAAAAGAACATCCTCTACTACACCTTTAACAGAGTGTGTTTGTTTTTCATGCAAAGCAAAATATGGCCTCTTCTTCCATTTTTTTGATAACTTGATTTTATTTTTGAAAACCCTTCAGCCTATCACATTTTGTAACATTCTGGATTGTTTTTCTTATGATTTTTAAGGTAACTCTGCGAGATAAATCTTCTAAAAGTCCAATTGGGGTAAATCTCAGAAACGTGAATGATGACATCCAGACTCTGTACATAAACTCAGCTGTCGATACGTTTGAGTTTAAGGCCACCACACAAGAGGGCGGCATCGTGGACGGAGTCCTAAGATATCATCCTTTTCTCTATGACAAGGAGACTTACCCAAAAGATCCCAATATTATTCAAGGTATAGAAATCTGACAGTTTTTTTTCTGAAAATAAAAGCTCTTTATGTGTAAAGTTGATGTTTCTCTGTGTGTGTTTTTTATTAGCACCTCCTGAGGACGATAATGATGAGAATGAAGCTGCAGTCATGAATCAGGCCAGAGGGAAGAGGGACATCTTTGAGTGTTTCTGGAATGGACGGCTCATCCCTTACACCACAATTTCTGAGTAAATAAGTGTTTACATGGAGTCACACTTTTTCTTCTCATTATATTTTAAAATTCAGGCAGGAGTTTTCAGATGTGCGCCAAAAAGTATTTAGCATTTCTTTAACTAAAAACATGCAATTGATTTCTTCTGAAATCCTCTTGTTTTTCCTTATGAAATTCAATCTATAGGTCAAAGAAAATAGAAAACATGTTTCATGTCAGACTTATTTTCTACTGTTATAGAAAGTTTTTTTAAAGGCAAATCGTCAGTGAATGTGTAAAGAGCTACTTTATAACCCTTGCTGATGAGAAACAGATGTGAGGAGGGTAGAAGAATGCAACCTTGAGGAGATTTCTCCAATCGGGGACCAGAGTAATAAATCTGACATCATATATCTTTAAAGCGACAACAGAATGTTTGCATTGTCCTGAAAGACATCATTTTCTTTAGACAAAAAATTAAAGTCACTAGGTAAAACATAGAATTTATGCTACTAAGTAAGAATATATAATTGTGCAAAAAATTCCCCACGACACCATCTCCCTTTTTCCTTCTTTTATTCCTCATTTTCTTTCTCTCTTCCTCATATCTGTATCAGTTCATTCATTTTAATGCTGTGCTTCTTAAAGAAGTATTTTATATATTTAACATATTTTCTTCATAGTGTCCACATACAATTCTTCTAAGAGTTTCCTAAAACCATGTATACCTCTTTTATAACCTCTTTTCATGCCACAAATAATTTGCTTGTGTGTATAGACGTTCATGTGGGTGTAGCCTTAGCAACATTAGAGGTCTGCTATTGTTCATTTACTGTTGTTTCCTGAACTCTTACACAATAGGTAAAATGTTGCACAAGCAGCAGCACTTAGTGGCTGCCTGCAGATTAGTCCCTGATTGTTAGAATCGCTCCTTTGGAACAGAAATGTGCCTAATGAAAGCAAGTCAGGCTCATGTTAGCATCTGTCCACAGCATCATCTGCATGGACTCAAAATAGAATTTGTGTCTGATTACCAATCGGGTTTTATTGTTTAATATATTTTTTAGGGTTTGGAAAAATATAACTTTCATTGCACCCTTAAAAAAAAAAAAAGCAATGCAGGCAGAAAATATGTCTACTTTTCTTTTAAAAATACACAAAGAAGAACCCCAAGCAACTTGGCGTCATCTTTTGCACTGCTTTATCAACACTTAGTCTGTTCCAGAATTTTAGCTGTAAAATAATCCTTTATTCTGCCATATCTCAAAAAAATTTGTCCCCATGTAAAAAACGATCTAAACATAATCCTTGTCTAAAAGACCAGCAGGCTAATGTCTAAATGTGCTTATTTAAAAGATAACAGCCATTGTTGAAATAGACATAAATGGTGGCAAACCTTTTCCTCCCTCCACCTATGTACAGGGTTTAATGTTAAAATTTTGGATATGCTTCTGGTGACATCTGACTTGGTGAACAAGGTCCATTAGTTTTCTTGCACTTTTCTGTTTTTTAGACCAGATGCATCTATTTTTTCCCTCCATAATTTTGGCATCTGCAGCAGTTTTTTACTTTGCTCCTATCATTTCTTTTGGAACATTTTTGTGCTGCACTCTTTTATTATTTTTTTCTCTTTGTTCATTTTCAAGGTTTTTTTGCTTAAAAAGAAAATTACATATGCAGACCACTGCAGAAAACTTTAAATATTTCTTAAATTTCTTTTTGTGTTCCAGGTTTGATTGGTGCCGTCAGCCCTATAAAACTACACCCGATTTGCCCCCAGAATGCTACAGTCGCTTCTCTGGGGTGCTTTTCACAAATGACAAATTCCAGGTCAATGTAACCAAACAGAAGTTCATGGACTTGGAGATTAAGCTGAAACACAGGGATACCCTCTTTATTCCTGTTCCTAAAGTTCAGGTGATGATTTCAGGTGTTATTTGTCTGTGGATCAGAAATTCAATTTCTGTTTAATACAGTAATTGATTTCTTATATATTATAAAACTGTTTGCAGAAACCTATCGCTTTTGAATGGCTAAACATACATATGGTTAAAGAGAAAAAAACCTATTCAGATATTGGTTTCTTTTGAGCAAACTTTTTAGAACTATCACTTTATTTTTTTTTGTGAGTTGTGATTTCTCTATTTGAATTATGGCAGATACTGGATTATTCCCTTTGGGACAAGTGGTGACCTCAATCAGTGTGTGAGAGAAGTGAGCATCACACAGCTCTGCAGCTGAAGAGGACTGTGGTTATTTGAAACAAACCAAGGCAGCCTAAAGCATTTAAAGTATTTTTACAGTTTCGTAGTTAGTTCATTTAGCAATGCTAACCCTTAGCATTAGTCAATATTTTCCCCGTAGAGCTAGATTTTTTAAAAGGATAAAAATAACCTTCCTCACCAGGGTTTTCACCAGGATGTTTTATTAGCGCTGGGGTAAACCTATATATATATATATTGCTTTCTTTTTTTTTGTCTCTTTTTTTTCTATGTTGAAGGCGGTGTTCATATTTCCCCTTCATATGCAAACATCAGATTGAGTAATTCCTCTGCTCCATATGCAGCTGTGATAACGTGGCAACAAACTGACACATTAGTCCTGCATTTTATTGGGTAGGAAAGAAAAAAAAAAACATTGACTATTTGTCGTTTCGGCTGTGAATCCTTCTCAGACTGGTTAATTCCCCCCTGCATTCACAGCTGTCTCTCTGTTTATTCATAAAAAAATGAGCATAATTACCTAAATTTCAGCTAAGCAGGAAGACATTTGAATGTAGCAGCTAATTATGCTGGTGAGAACCTTGCAATTATCCCCTGACATTAAACACACGGTTTAAAAAAGCTTCAGAATGATTATCTAACACTTCTCTGTTAGAAAGGGCTTCATTTTATGAATGTTATTTCTTCTTTTCTTTTTTTTTGCTTCGTCTGACATCAGTGTTATTGGTGCATCATGATGATTGTGGCAATGCATCGTACATTTCTAATCAGAAAGAAACAGTAAAACCTGCTAAATTTTCAATGTATCTCTGATTTGTTTTTTGTTTTTTTTTTGTGCCCGTGTTGATTGTCACATTTTACAGAAAGCCGCAAAAACTTCCAGAAACATCCAGAAAGAGTTCACCCAGTGGCTTCAGAAATGTCACACACAGTTTGATAAGCAGGTGAAGTTCCTTAACTGCATGGGGATTGTGACACGAAACGATGTGCCGACGAAGAAGATGCAGCATCCCTGGACCGCTTTCTCCGCCATTGAGTTAGATGGAAAAATATACAAAGTGGGGGAAACTGTAAGTTTTTTTTTTGTTGTTGTTTTTTTTAACAGTAGAAATTTGAAAAACACATTTGTATACATTGTTAATGTTAAAACAAAATACATTTTTTCTTTTGTCAGTTACCTAAATATTTTCAATCTGCTGAATCAGAGAACTAATGATAACTTATTTTTTGCTTTCTTCAAATGTATACATTTATATGCAATTATAAATAGATTGTATATGAAGATCCCTAAGCCTATGACCTTATGACCTTGTAAGCTTCCCAATCTCTCCTTATAATTGTGAACTTAATGCCAAATACAGTAGCAGCCATTCAAAATGGCCCTTCCCAGTCAAACGCCAGCCGAATGGCAGCCTACTGACCTCCAACTCCCAGTGAAATTCCCTCCAACTTCCAGCCACTGGAGTGACCCCCTCTTGCATATATTTGTTACTCTGACACCCTTTCACTGAATTACAGGGTCTGACCAGGAGATGATGCTTCTCTTTAGATCTTAATGTCCACAAATTATGACAGAAAGGAAAGTGGGGAAGTTTAGAATGACTACTACTGTTTACTGCTTCCCTCTACGAGGTCACGTGAAATAAACAAAATCAGCCTAGATATCAAGAGAATTGTGAAGGTCAGTTAGTCTAGTTCATCTTTGGGTATAATTATCAAGCTTCTCTTCAAAGCAAGCTTAAATGCCATGAGTGTCCAATCATCAAACATCATGGATGAGACGGGTTCTGCGTCCCAAAGGGAAAAGTTCTGTCATATGAACTCTGGTTTTAAAAAAGGCAAAACTGTTGGTAAGATGTCATTGTCAACGGTGGAAAAGGAATGTAAAAAAAAAAAGAAGAAAAGTCCTGCACATTCTGGACTGAAATGCTTTTCAGAGGAGAACACTCCCAAAGTAACATCAAATCCTGGCCAGGTTCTAGTTTGCAATATTGACCCCTGGGAACATGTATTCTTTAAGTTTTATGTAGGCACCAGCATCACGTTGGCTGCATCTTGCAAGATGAATGATTCTTATTTCAACCATTTCGTATATTAGCTATGAAATATGAATCAAGATGCTATGACCGAAAACATTTGATTGACAGCTGGCCAGTCATATATGATTGGCCGAATTTAGGTTTACAAGCTGATGTATTACTAACTGGCCTGCATAAGATAATAAAAAAAAAAACACAGATTTTAAGACAGGATTCTTTTTTAAATAGAAATTTTCTACATTTTGGGACAATATAGTCTGATAAAGAGTACATTTCTATACATCTTTAAAGCTGCAGTCTGTTACATTGAGAAGAGAGCAGACTTCGACTGAAAATTTAAAGAAAAACAGGTTTCACGCCACTCCCCCACCCTCTCTGCTTCACTCATGCCCCACCTCCAAGCTCCACCCCTCTCACAGCATCTGCGCGGCTACCGCATGCGAACAGAAGCGTCCAAGCAGCGTACGCGGCAGCTCTTCCATTGACATCTTCTTTTTTGAAGTCTTTGCCGTGTAGTCGTTCCGCCATGACTTCCACACGCATCCTCCTGACTGCAGCAGCAGCGGCAGGCTCAGCGGTGAGAGGGAGGGGGCGGGATTCAGCGTGTGTGAGCTGTGATTGACACTCCATCAGACGCTCCTCTGGCTGTGATTGGTTGTTTTGTCTCGTCCCGAAATATTATTTCCAGATTGCAATACAGGCAGTAGGCGGGACCAATTGAAGCAGTTTTTTTCACAGGTTACATATCACATGTACTGCTGTCTGGGCATAGGGACAGTTTTAGCCAATATGACAAAAAAGTGATTTTTAAAAACTTCAGCTTTAAGCGAGAATGATTTAACATTTGGGGGACACTGCTTTACAGTGGCCCCCAGAAAGCTCTGAGTTCAGTTCCACAGACGGTTTGCTGACAGTGCGGCAGCCAAAGGCTTGACTCGGTTATACCAGTTTTGTCAAAACAAATGGGTTAAATTGTAAAAATAATGTATCTAATATTTTTTCATCCATGTCATTCATTTAAAAAATATTAAATACTTAACATTATAATAAACTGCTACATTAAAATGAGTTAAAGGGAAAAAAAATCAAATATTTCTCAATATTTTTGACATTGCAAATTGAAATGATTTTGGTAAGCTTTACTGACCTTAAAACAGAAAAGGTTTAATCTGAATAAATGTCAATGTAGTTCATATATAATTATCTGTTTTTCCCCTGTTTTATAACAGTTGAAATCTCAGAAGACTCAACCAGTTCTCTACGGCACAGTGCAGCGTTTTTTGTTGTATGGGGAACACGGAGGGGATGTATATGCAACAGGCGGACAAGTGGACATCAGACGGGTAAGGAAAGACTTCGGACAATTGGACAAACTAAAGAGGCTGACAGTAAATGTCAGTTGTTTTTTTTTGTTATTTATTCTGATTTAATGTTCCCCTTATAATTAGGGATTTCTTTTCCAATTTGGGTAAATGTGCTGCTTAGGGCTGGGTACCGAGCATCGGTTCTTTTATGGTACTGACCGAAATGCTTCGGTTCTACAGAATATCGAAACATGCCTCGTCTTTCAGTGCCAAGTTTCGGCGATTGGCTGTAACACTTAACGTGATTGCGTCGTCCAGGAGAAATAAATAGGTGGTCACGTCTACAACCAGGGTTCAAGCGTATCTGTTGTGAACTGGTTGCGAGCGTCGTGGAACCCCTTTAAAATGCCCCCCAGGTCAAAGGTGTGGCTTCACTTTATTAAGACTGATGCCAATAGTGCGCAATGCAATACATCGTGCACGGAAACAATTTAAGCGCAGAAAGTTGGTCGGTGTTTGACTGCAAGAAGAGCGGACCGCAGCCCGTGGGCAGTGCAAAGCCAGAGCGGAGTGAATCATGCTGCTTTCACACCGGGCGGAGCAAGAACAGCAAAATCGCGTCTGCTGCTTTCTTTTTGCTGCTTGTACCAGCTTCTGACACGCGGCTGAAGCAGCTTGCTGCTCTGGCTGCGCGGTTGAAAAGTGGTTCTGACTCGCGTTGGACGGAGCTACTTTTTCCTTTATTTGCCTGGCAGCTATATTTGCTGTGATCAGTGGGAATAAAGTAGTTTTATTATGTTTTTAAGTGGGAAAATCCACCTGAAAACTTAATCAGTGCAGTCAGTTCATCAAGATTACCATCCTGCCTTCCAATATTATTTGTGTCGGGGCCGCTCATTCAACGGGCTTGTTTGTCTCCTGAGAAAGCAGACATGTTAATTTTTCTAAAGAAAAACTGCTAAGTAAAAAGGTCCTCACAATGTAACAGTGAATATTAGACACTGACTTGTTTGCAACTGTTCTTCTTCAATGAAAAAATTTTTTTTATGTAAGAGGAAAAATGTATATGGAAAAATCAGAGCTTAAAATAAAACTCAAGATTTGTACTTTATTATTTTGTGTAATTTTCTTTTTCTTAGAATTGATATTATAAAACTGGTATCGAAAAAAGTATCGTTCAGGAACCGGTATCGAAGTGAAGGTATCGGTATTGGTACTGGGACCGAAAATTTTTGAACAATACCCAGCCCTTTGTAAATGCATGTGGTATGAATCTTTTATTGTTAAAAGCAGTGAGTATTGTTTATTTCACTCTAATTAGTTAATTGAATGAAATGCTTTGTGCAGAACATCAGATGAACATTTTCTTATTACACTTCTTTACATATTAAAGTAGAATATAAATAAATACAAAATAATAAAAATAATACAGGGAACCAATGGCTTTTTGTTATAATTATGACTTTGATTTCTTTTTTTTATAGGAGCCAATGGAGCTGTATGCGAATGTTACCAGGATCATACCCATCTCCAAGATTGACAGGACTGCCACCAGAGAAAGTATTTGCAAAAACATCGAGAACGACAGGGACAAGTAAACATTTATTTAAAATCCCTTCTTTTTTTTAAAGTGTCACTGTAAATAAGTTATTCAATTTAGTTTTAGTATTTTTTTTTGCTAGAAATAAGAGAAAATTAAATATTTGTTTATTGTTTTCTTTTTCGATAGAAAAAATTCTACTGAGAAAAGAATCCCCCAAAACATATGTTTTATTTATTTTTATTTGCCAGCAACCTTCAATTCAGATATGTATCAAAGATGGAAATTTTTAAAACGTGAATGTCTCTAAACTATTCCATATTTTACTGGAATAATGAATTCACTGAACATTTACTAATCTAGAAAGCATATATCTGGGTTTGACTGTACGGGTGCATCTCAGTAAACCAGGCCCGTTTTCTCCAATATCCCACCTGCTGCTTTTGCTTATCGGGAAGGGAGCAAACCCTCTGCTAATTTTGTTTCCCTTTTTTTTTTTTTTTTTTTAGCTCGGTTCAGGCTTTTGAAATTCATGTTGTCCAACAAGCTCAGTACCTTGAAGTGAAGACATGGCTACTTATGCAGATAGGATCGAACGAAAAGTAGTTGTCTGAAATAGATTTCTCTCTGTTTTTAATTCCTACACAGCCTTTTCTACTAGTTGAGCCTTTACTAAATGTCTCTAAAATCAATAATATTAGATAGATTTGTTTATTTTTCGTTCTTGTAAAATACTATTGAATACTTAAAAAAATTTAATTGAGTTTTTTCTTTAGTTTTAAATATATTTACAGTGTTTTTATGTATTTTTTGGTCTGTCCAATAATTATATTCCTCCTCATAAAAACATAAAAACCCATTTTTTTAGAGTGGCCTTTGACTGCTATCCAAACATTTTTAAGTTTCCTATCAAACTCGTTACATTTTCTTTAACATTTGATTTTTTTTGACAAGTATTAATCCTTTTTTTCTATTATCTATTCATTTTAATTTGTCACTTTCATTCTCTTTAACTATTTATGTTGCCTCTATTCCACCACTGCCATGTACCCCCCCCCCCCACACACACACACACACACGCCTCATGTACAGCACCGTGAACTATCTTGCTACTGAAATCTGCTATACAAGTACACATGCCTTAACTTAACTTACACAATAAGAGTTTTTAGTGAGACAAAAAAACAACAACCTAAAAATTCAAAATCTTTCATTTATACCCAGACTCCATTGAGATTTTACATGAATCTTATCTTTTATTTTTATTTTGCAGAAATCTTGCATTTTTTGTTTGCATGAATCTTGTACTTTTTTTTTGCATTCATAGTGTAATATTTCTTCTTGTAATGAAGAATGAGATCACTGTTATATCTTTGCACCTCTGAGGATTTAGCTTTGACTTGTTTCTAGGTTGCCAGCAAAGCTGAACGTTGAATGGCCAGAGGGGAATCCTTGGCCACAAAATGCTGTGGTTCGCTGCGGGACTCCTTTAGGTAAAACTCCATTGCTTTTAACTCTCTATATTATTACATTTCCATAATGCAAATTAAAATCTTGAGATTAAATAAACTTTTATATGTTGCATCATTTCAGGTCCCTTAAAGGTTCAAATTCATAATAGAAATGGGAGATGGATCTCATCCATTCATACAGGCGGCCAGGGGGCATTGATAAAGCTGGAAGTTATGCTTACAGTTATTTTCTATGGTAAGGCAAGTGGGACCACAGCTGGGTGATTGGTGATATATGGGTTGGTATTTACAGGTATAGCAAATTTTTGAAAACACCCACCCTTCAAACACATGCAGGGTTGTGCATGTGAAAAAAAATTTCACATGCACAACCCTGTACCAGCTCCCGAGATGGAACGCCTATTAAACTCGTGCTCGTTCTGTTTAGAAGTTGCTGTTTGCATCATTTATACAAGCATTTTAATGATCCATCCGGAAAAAGAACATCTCCACTGTACCTTAAAGCTCATCATTACCTGATTTATATTTCTTCTGCATTGATAGTTCAAATTATCCCCTGCACCATCCCTTGCTGCAGGTTTCTATTGAGTCTGTCTTTCTTGTTTTTGGCATAGGTTCCAAAGGAGGGAAGAAGATTGCTGATTTGTCTGCCCAATCTACTAAATTTGGACACTGGTTCGAGAAAATTGGTTTGTTTTTCACCTTCTATTCTTAAAGTATTCATTACTCTACGACAAGATTTCACACAAAAACTGTTTAATCCACTTTAGAGTCCCTGACCAGCCTGGGAAAATACACCCTGAGTCTAAAAACTGCAATACGTGATAAGGATCTCTCCACAGTCTATGGAGGCAAAGAGCTCCCGAGTTATGAGCTGAAGTTTACAATCAAAGGTGAAAGGAATGAACCTTTTTCTTTGGAAATCTTTCAGGCAGATGCTTGACAGGCGCTGTTATATTTTTTCAGAGGGAAATGCAGAAAGCTTTACTGTTCTCAACCCTGCTGATTCTGTACGAGTGGGAGTGCCATTCAACATTCACCTGGAGATGAAAGATTGTTATGGCCACCCTACAACTCCTCCTTCTAAACTTCAGCCTGTTATTCAGTGCAAGTGGGTCACTTTGAACTTATTTATATTAACCATTTTCCAGCTGTGTTCCCTGTCTTTTCATTACTTCATCTTTTTTTGTGCTTATTCAGAGATTTGGAGCTGAGTTATGCAACCATAAGCAGCAGCGGGAATACCCTCACTATAACAGGTGTCAAAGCCATAGGGAAAGGCCAGGATTACCAGAATTCCAGGGTACAATAAATGAATAATTATTAATCTTTGTTCTTCACATATACAATCAGATAGAGGTGTTGATAGATGTTTAAGGTATCAGTCTGGATAAAGATGTATCCAAAAAAAGTAAAAGAAAATGTATTTTTGCAGATTTATGATTTGGACGTGACAGTGCCTGGCCTGAAAAATCACACACAAACCATCAAGACCAGGCTTCTTCCTGGTAAGACTATTTTTACTGTGTGTGTGGTTAAATTTATCATGTAGGGGTCTTGACATTTTAACGATTTATTCTGTGTACATTGTAATATCCACTAGAATTTTATTATGTGAACTGAAATAATTTCACTACACGTGTTTGTTGCATCCATAACATTGACCAACACTATCATTAGTAAAGTTTAAGCATGCTTCTGTTAGCTTTAGCCACATGCTGTGAACGTAATCTTTTTAAGAAGTCAGGAGAAGAATGATTGACTTTTCAACAAGTCTGAAGACCAAAACTATTAGCTGTGAATGTTAGGGTTAGTATCAATATGTTGTGTTAGCATGCTAACATCTCTCCACTTTAAAAGCCTTTACCCGCTCCTGAGAAGGAATGCCTATTAAACATGTGTCGCTGTTTGCATCACTCATACAAGCTTACTTTCCAAAATAAGATCTGAAATTTTTCCGCTATGTTAGACTCACCACTAGTAAGTGAAAATGAGAACGTGCATAAAAAAGATAGATGGCCTTATGTAAGCATATCAGAATGATTGACAATCAGGAGGACCACTAATTTTGATGATCCACCCAGAAATAGAACATCCTCCGCGATACCATTAAAGTCGGAAACAAACGAAAAACTAACTGAATTTACGAGATTGTGTTTTATCGATAATTATATTACAAATGTTAAAAATATAAACATACAAGAAAAAAACGTAGAATTGCTTTTTAGGCATTGTAGAGATTGATGACCACAGGAATGATTTCCTGTGGTGCATCTGGGTAAAAGGAGTCTTCTGCTGAAGGAGCTCGTCTGCTGGACCAGTATGTCATGGAGAGGATGTGAGTCATTGTCTAAGATGGACTGAAACCTGGACAGCATCCTCCTCTCTGCCATGGTGGTCAGTGTCCAGCTCCTCCCCCACAACATCAACGGCCCTCCTGATCAGTTTGTTCAGTCTGTTGTTGCCAGCAATCCTCAACCCACTGCCCCAGCATGTGAGAGCAAAGAAGAGCGTGCTAGCAACAACAGACTCATAAAACAGCCTCAGCATCATCCCACAGATGTTAAAGGACCTCAACCTCCTCAGGAAAAATAGTCGCCTTTGGCCCTTTTTGTAGACCGCCTCAGTGTTTCTAGTCCAGTCCAACTTATTGTTAAAGTACACTCCCAGGTACTTATACTCCTCCACAGTGTCAACAGGAACCCCCCGGATGGAGAAAAGGGTCACAGGTGTTTTTGACCTCCTCAGATCCACTATTAGCTCCTTAGTCTTTGTCACGTTGAGCTGCAGGTGGTTCAGCTCACTCCCAAGTTGCCCACCACAGTCCTATATTCACTCTCCTCACCCTTTTCAATGCAGCCAACAATTGCTGAGTCATCAAAAAACTTCTGAAGGTGGCAGGACTCCTGCAATACTTGGGAGGGGAGAAGGGGAGGTGGAGAGGACAGTCCCCTGAGGGGCCCCATTGTTGCTGACCACCCTGTCAGACACACAGTTCTGTAGGCGTACATACTGTGGTCTGCCCGTCAGGTAATCAACAATTCAGGATACGATGGGGGCCTCCACATGCATCGCAGTCATCTTCTCACCCAGTAGAGCCTGGTGGATGGTGTATAAGGCACTGGAGAAATCATAGAACATGATTCTCATAGTGCTCGCCGGCTTGTCCAGATGATTGTAGACTCTGTTCATCAGGAAGATGATGCTGTCCTCAACTCCCAGGCAGGGCTGGTAGGCGAACTGTAGTTCACCTAATATCTCTAAGGCTTAGTTCTCCAACTTTATTCCTATTCAAGCCTCTTTTTAAACACACATTTTTATGACTCAAGCAGTAGCCAACAGGATGAACATATCTCTACAGCCCAGGGTCCCTTAGCCACAGGCTCCCACAGCAGCTCCAAACATGCAGAGAAATGGTCTATTTCTTACAGTGATTCCCAATTTTCACAACAGGCGGTCAGGTTCTCCTAAGGTCAGAGCTCTCCCTCACTATCCCGTGGATTTATTCCTAAAATGCATTTACTGGTCGCTCCAAGGTTTTTCAGAGACAGCTTGGCCACCTCCAAAATCTCCACCTCTTTGCACAGCAATCTAAATGTGTAAAAATTGGTAATGTGCAAACCGACGCGCAGTGCGTGGTCGAGATTAGCCTCCTAACGGTAGATGGACTCTGGTAATGTGGGCACTGGTGAACAGCAGCTACAACATGTAGAATTGCTAACCTACTCTGTCCCAAAATCATGAACAAATTGGAAATCCCACCATCGATATAGCACAATCTATCTGCTACCTGTGATTTGTTATGAGTCTTGGCACGCGCTTTGCCACAAGGTATGTCGGCTCGATGGATAGCAACGAATAGTCAGCTCAACAGCTGCGTCATCTCTCCTTCTCATGCAGCAAATTGGCTTAAAAGCATAAGCTATCTGATTTAGATGCTCTAGTGTACTTTCAGTTTGATCTTCCATCATACCAAATTTCGTAATTGTTTCACGGGAATGAGGTATAGCTGGTATTACCAGTGCGTTCAACTGAAGACACTACAGAACGAACCAATCCTGTGATGTCACCGTATAGACAACTGCAACATGGCTCCGTCCCTGACAAAAAATCATATACAGTACTACATTTTATAATTGGTGATAATGGTGAGACACAATCTCGTGAAATAAGTTGGTTTGGTTAACTGTCTAATTTCCACTTTAAGCTTGTTACATACTCTTCAAGTACTGAGGAATTTGTTCTTTCTTTCTTTTTTTTACTTCCTGTCTGTAATTTATTACATGTTTAAATATTTCAGGCAACCCACATTCCCTTCATGTGAAACCTAACCCAGTGAAAGTGGAGAATGGAAACCCTGCTAGTTTCAGTGTGGAAGTTCATGATGAGGCTGGAAACATCACTGCCAACCCCAGACAAATGGTTCGCTGCCAGGTATGAGATGATCATGTGTTATTATACAAACAATTTTAGAAGCAATCCTACTCACAAAAAGCTAAGGAACCTTTTATTAAAATGTTATTTTGCAAAAGAAATACTTTTGGAGTTAGCTTTGGCTGTCTGTAAAAACTCATACTCGTCGTGTTCCTCTTTATCCGGGACCGGTTCGAGGGGGCAACAGTCTCAGCAGAGACTCCCAGACTTCCTCCGCAGACACCTCCTCTTGCTCTGCTTGGAGAAGCCTGAGGTGCTCCCAGGCCAGCTGAGAGACATAGCCCTCCAGCGTGTCCTGGGTCATCCCCTGGGCCTCCTCTCAGTGGGACATGCCTGGACCAGCTCCTGCCTTGGGGGGCATCTGAAAAAGATGAGCCACCTGAGCTAACTCTTTTTGATGTGGAGGAAAAACGACTCTTCTCCAAGCCTCCCAAGTGACCAAGCTCCTTACCCTTTCCATAAGGGAGAGCCCAGCCACCCTGCGGAGAAAGTTAATTTCAGCAGCTTGTATCCGCAATCACTCGGCTCTCTCTTTACCACGACAGACAATGCAGCATCTGCATTATAGCAACCGTCGCTCTGACCCTTTTTATTGGTCTCCTGCTCCATTCTCCCATAAATTGTCGACAGGAGCCCAAGAACTCCTTTGCTTGAGGTAGGAACTCTCCTCCAACCTGAAGGAGAAAAGCCACCTTTTTCGGGTCAATTACCATGGCCTTGGACTTGGAGGGGCTGCTTTTCATTCTAGCCGCTTCACACTAGGATGCAAACCTCCCCAGTGTATGCTGTAGGACTTGGCTGAGGGGAGCCAGCAGAACCACGGCATCTGCAAATAGCAGGGACGAATTCTGCTGGTCCCAAACAGAGAGATCCTCACTTTTCCACAACTTGTCCCTCTAAATGATAAATGTAGTGGGTTTTAATCTCTGGCCTACCACACCAATGACCTGAGGGTAACCCTTTAGGCAGAGTGGAATTCCCTGTCTAAATAGACAATAAATCAACTTGTCAAACAGCATGAGACATTGTGGTTTAAAATGATTTAATGATGCTCAATGACAAACTAGTTATGTTGCCTGAAGTTTTTACAATTTTCATTCATCTCATTTTAAGTGCAGATATCCTGAACTTTTTAAGAGTCAGGAATTTACAGGTGCTGGTCATAAAATTAGAATATCATGAAAAAGTAGATTGATTTCAGTAATTCCATTTAAAAAGTGAAACTTGTATATTATATTCATACATTACATACAAACTCATATATTTCAGATGTTTATTTTGTTTAATTTTGATGATTACAAATGACAACAAATGAAAATCTCAAATTCATCATATCAGAAAATTAGAATATTACTGAAGACCAATAAAAACAAAGGATTTATAGAAATGTTGGCCAACTGAAAAGTATGAACATGAAAAGTATGAGCATGTACAGCACTCAGTATTTAGTTGGGCCTCCTTTGGCCTGTATTACTGCAGCAATGCGGCGTGGCATGGAGTCGATCAGTCTGTGGCACTGCTCAGGTGTTATGATAGCCCAGGTTGCTTTAATAGTGGCTTTTAGCTCTTCTGAATTGTTGGGTCTGGTGTATTGCATCTTCTTCTTCACAATACCCCATAGATTTTCTATGGGGTTAAGGTCAGGAGAGTTTGCTGGCCAATTAAGAACAGGGATACCATGGTCCTTCAACCAGGTACTGGTAGCTTTGGCACTGTGTGCAGGTGCCAAGTCCTGTTGGAAAATGAAATCTGCATCTCCAAAAAGTTGGTCAGCTGCAGGAAGCATGAAGTGCTCTAAAACTTCCTGGTATGTGGCTGCGTTGACCCTGGACCTCAGAAAACACAATGGACCAACACCAGCAGATGACATGGCACCCCAAACCATCACTGACTGTGGAAACTTTACACTGGACTTCAAGCAACGTGGATGAAGTGCCTCTCTTCTTTTCCTCCAGACTCTGGGACCTTGATTTCCAAAGGAAATGCAAAATTTACTTTCATCAGAGAACATGACTTTGGACCACTCACCAGCAGTCCAGTCCTGTTTCTCTTTAGCCCAGGCAAGACGCTTCTGACGCTGTCTGTGGTTCAAGAGTGGCTTGACACAAGGAATGCGACAGCAGAAACCCATGTCTTTCATACGTCTGTGTGTGGTGGTTCTTGAAGCACTCACTCCAGCTGCAGTCCACTCTTTGTGAATCTCCCCCACATTTTTGAAGGGGTTTTGTTTCACAATCCTCTCCAGGGTGCGGTTATCTCTCTTGCTTGTACACTTTTTTCGACCACATCTTTTCCTTCCCTTCGCCTCTCTATTAATGTGCTTGGACACTGAGCTCTGTGAACAGCCAGCCTCTTTAGCGATGACCTTTTGTGTCTTGCCCTCCTTGTGCAAGGTGTCGATGGTCGTCTTTTGGACAACTGTCAAGTCAGCAGTCTTCCCCATGATTGTGTAGCCTATAGAACTAGACTGAAAGACCATTTAAAGGCTTTTGCAGGTGGTTTGAGTTAATTAGCTGATTAGAGTGTGGCACCAGGGGCCATCAATTTTGAACCTTTTCACAATATTCTAATTTTCTGATATGATGAATTTGAGATTTTCATTTGTTGTCATTTGTAATCATCAAAATTAAACAAAATAAACATCTGAAATATATGAGTTTGTATGTAATGTATGAATATAATATACAAGTTTCACTTTTTAAATGGAATTACTGAAATCAATCTACTTTTTCATGATATTCTAATTTTATGACCAGCACCTGTACAGCCGAACTATCACCACGTCATTTAATGGATTTTGTTTAGGCTGACTATAATAATGCATTTAGAAAATATACCTTTTAGTGCCCTACTAACTGAAACAGGTCTTATATTTGTTTATGATGTTCCTCTTTTCTCTTCACAGTGTATTTAGGACAAAATTTGATGGAACCCATTGCATTTTGATCAGGGATCCTTTTAGAAACGAGTTGTTTGTCCCGCAAAACATAAACTTTTTTTTTTTCTCTTAGATTCCAGGGCTTCAGTTAGTGTCATCGGACTGCAGCAAAACAGGAGCAGGCCAGATTGTGACACCAATTGTGAACGTGAAAATTATTGATGGAAAGCCACAAATACTCAATGCACACTTTTCCATTTTTGTAAGTTAAGGAAAATTGTTCTAAGATGAAAAACTCAGATTACAGTTTCACAGTTATGTTCTTCAGCTATTTATTTTTTTTGTCATAGAGTCACAACAATGTTCCAGACGTCACAGTTGAGATGAAGGTTGTGCCTAGCAATCGAATCTCCAGGATGGAGCTCTTCTCTCTGGTAGAGGAAAAATTGGAGCTGAGAAACAAGGAAAGGATTGAGTGGCAAGCTGGAGGACTGCTTCAGAATCTGGTTTACAAATTGTATGATGAGTCGAACAAGGAGGTGGCAGTCACTCCTGAAATAGCCTCTAACATCAAGGTGTGTTTTACTCTTTTGCATTCTTGCATGTTATTGCTAATCCTGTTTTCTAGTGTCTCTTTTCTGAACCCCCTGGTGTTGAATTTATTCATCTTGATTGTTTTAAAGGTTAACTGGACAGGAGAGGTAAATCTGAGATCTTTAGTAAAGGGAAGACTGCCAGATGTACGGGTTCCTACAAAAGTGCAGGACCAGCGCTTCTACCAGGTCTCCTACAAGGACCAGAGTGTGTCTTTCTGCTTTACCATTGTGTAAGCCACATATGTTTGTTAAGCATGAGAGGTTATCCCATAGGAAGTCTTAATTTCACAATCACACATTTAAACATAATTTTTTGAGGAAAACTTGAAAGAAACCAAGAAGACCATGCCCAAAGTAAATTTCAGCATTAAAAAAAAAAAAAAACCTGTAGGCTGAGCACGAAAAAACTGCAGGGCTGATGGGAAGATCAATGGCACTTTTCTAGGATCACCCTGGGAAGAATGGAGAACAGCAAAAAAAAACTGAGAATGGGGTGGGGATTCCCTCAAATGGGATGAAAACATAAATATACAGTCGCAGCTGCAGTGAATGGGTAAGAGCGAAGCATATTTATCCCCTGTCAAAGTCTAGAACAGCATGAAATTATCTGTATTAAACTTAGAACTTTCTTATAACTTATAACTTTAGCTTTGTCGTGCCAATTAATAACCTGACAACAGCCAGATGCATGTCTCACTCCGCCTAGCTCCGCTCACATACATCTGGGAACCCGCCATAGGAATTGCCTTTACTGAAGGCTGGGCCTTATCAAAACTCCTTGCATATGATTGGATAAGCCACTTGTCTGTCATCTTTATTGACGTGCTATTTCAACCACTCACACCGAAGCTAACCCGTGACGCTGTGAGAGGAGGAGCCGTTTGGTAGATCAAGCTCTTGCCAAATCCGGTCGGGAGAAGGGCGAAAACATCGTTTCCACCAACAAAAGCCTTCAAAGTCGTTCTCTGATGTTCTTTTAATGAAACAATATAAGATAGATTGGACAACACAGAAGAAATAGCAGCATCAATGCTAACGCTTGCTTCCTCAATGCGAGCCGCCATTGTTGTTGGAATCTCAGAGTCGCTTCTCCACTCCAGGACACACCCACCCTGCGTCCTGATTGGCCAGACCATAAATTCGGTTGGGGAAATCACTTTCAATGAGCGGGTTCCCAGATGTATGTGAGTGGAGCTGGGCGGAGCGAGACATGCATCTGGCTGTTGTCAGGTTAGCCAATTAATGCTGTGGCAATAAAAAAACAGCTCTAAAAAAAGATGGCTCTAGGAAGTATCGGTTTTAAACCATTTGTATCTTTTACCTAAAGGACCAAAGACATACATTCAGTTTGTTGGTTTAAGAAACAAAAAAAATAAGGATAATGAATACTTTTGCTAGTCACTGCAGTTTTCCTTTCTAACTCTTTGTTTAAAGTGTAAAGGGGCGATATTAAGCAAAAGATTTCCCCTTAAAATTCTGTCGTTAACAAGCTAAACTGCTTGCATTGTTTATAGGCCTTGTCCAGATGAACCAGCGCGACTAAAGGCATCTCTACCTAAAAACACAGTGAAGCTTGGTGAAACACTTGATGAAACCATAGGTAAGCTTGTCAAAGATCACTCAAAGTATCTATTTATTTATTTTTTTTTTCAATATTTAGAAATTAATTAAATAGGTTAATTGAAATTTTTCAACCAGAGTTGGAGCTTGTGGACCAGTATGACAATGTCACCAAGAGGCTGACTGCTGCAGCTGCCGAGTCGATGACTGTTGAAGCTGAGGGACTGGACCAGTCTAACATTCAATTCCTATGGCAGGTGGGAAATCAGATGCACAAATGGATGTTAAAGGGGAAGGTTGTTTGTTTGTTTTTTTACATTGGCCCCTTGATTTTACGTTATTAGATCACTCCGCTTTGTTTTTAAAAAATATAACTATAAAAAATATAGCCACAAATGTCTGGGGGACAGTGATTCGCCCACATGTTATGAATGCTGGTGTACCATAAATGAAATTATGAACAGTTTAGTTTGTGCCTTCAACTCGTTGCCCGTAGGAAGACGTTACAAAACAGAATATCTTCGGAACAGCTCCAAATGTCACAAAACTAATATGGGTGAGTAGAATAAGGTAAAATCAAGGGGCCAGTGTAAAAGAAACAGCGTTCCCCTTTAATATGTACAGCTTAAGATTTGAAGTGGCTTCAGACCTGTCCAAAGATTAATTTTTTATTTACTTATTTGTTTTGCAGCTAAGCTCCATTTAACGTGAAAAAAATTAACATTTTACTTCATTTTAAATCAGTTTTTTTCACTGTTTTATTTCACTACATCACAGTTGTCCCACATTTAGACTTGCAGCTCATTGTTTTTTTTAAGGTTTTCTACTATTTATTGATCAGTATATCACTTTCCTAGTTTCTATCGTAGAATTTTTAAATTGAATTTTCCTATTCTCTCCATGCATGCGTGCGTTTTCTCTGGGTGCTATGGCTTCCTCCCAGAGTTGAAAAACATGACTGTTAGATTAAGTAGTCTCTATAAAAGTGCCCTTTGGTGTAAGAATGTGGTGCATGGTTGTTTTTTTATGTCTCCCTGAATGTTGCCCATGTGAATGTTGGAGATAGTTTTGTTGGCAAACAAAAACAATAACAATGTTTCTGTCTGGCCATCAGAACATATGAGGAAAAATCGGTCCTTCTAGTCTAAACAACAGTCCCTACTTTCCTAACTCAGGGTCAAAAACATAGACCATCTGTGCTAAGCACCATAACACAGCGTGGAACAATGCACCTCTCTGTGAGACTATCTTAGTTTTTACACTTTGAAGAAATGTGAAAGTGGTTCCACTCAACTCACATTAGTGACCACAGTGAAACCTGCAGCATTGACAGATAACGTGTTATTAGGAAGGTTTGCTGTTTCTAGTCGTTTTATTTTGTTGTTGCTTTTTACTGTACATGTTGAATACATACGTATGTTCAAATACATGTACATTGCTGCACACATTGGTGGCAGTTAAATCCTCTTAGCTTATTAACACAACTTAAAACGAGAGAGAATAAAGCAGAAAGGGGGGAAAATAGACTTTTGACTTTTAACAGCACTTTATTTACAAAATCAAACAACATAACCAATTAACTATGTCCAAAAAAAAAGTGTCAGCTAAAAATCTCTTAAATGAGAAGATTGTGAAATTGTAGTTCTCCACCATCTGACACAATACATACAATTCTGTTAAAGCCCCACAACTTCTATGCCAATATGTGACGAGTGAATTTCTCCACTGTGGGATCAATAAAGCTCATCTAATCTAATCTAATCTAACTACATAAAATCCTCCATGTTCTGTGTGGCTCTTTGGGGGTGAAACTCCAGCCTTATTCTGGCTTTAATGTTGCACTTCGACAGAGCCACGGCATTAAGGTGAAGTCCTTCCTGCAGACTGTCTCTGCGGGACAAGTAAAAGGCCATCTCTGCTATGCTAATTAAAAAATTTAAAAGTTGGGCCTTTTGGCTTGTTTCTTTTGTTTTAGCAAACTCCTCCTATAAATAGAGCATTTGTAAAAAGCCATTCCAAAAGAACAATTATTAAAGGGCTAAAAATGGTCTTTATTCTTGTGCATTCCATAAAAACGTGGAATAAATTTTAAGACAGACTGCAGGAAAGACACTCATTAAAAACACCCTGATTAAAAGAGAATAACACCTTGAAGTGTGCTTCAATGCTTGTAAGAAATCAAAAGGAAGAAGAAAAAAAACATCACAAAAGAGGAAGTAGACCTTGCGGTCAATAATTGTGGATTACACAGTCTTATTGAAGCTATGTGTATATATAGTTGAAGCTGTAGTAGTATTTAGTATAACAGTTTACACCTAAATCCAAACGCCTGTGGTGCATATGCAGAAGTGTGCTTGTGTATATACATTTTATAAGGCTCCTTTAGCTAATAATAATAATACTGAATTTTATTTACCGTATAACACACTTTACATTTGACATCAAATCTCAAAGTGCTAAGCTGGGAGATATGCTCAATAGCAAGTGTGAGGGGCCCCAGACGCACCCCAGAGAGACCACAGCTGACACAGAGGAGACCAGAGACCTAGATATGCAAAAGCACCCCAGAGTTAAAGGGCATTGAGAGAGGGAGAGCACAGGGATGGCAACACACACCCGGGATGTACAGACGAGAACCCTTAGGCCAGCTTCCCTTGCAGCCGCTTCTGTCTTAAGACAGACCCAGTTTTTGGCTCAGAAACACAATGCAAGCGGGACAACCCCCTCAGGTGGAGGCCCAGCAGGGCCAGGGGGCCGAGGTCCAGCCAAGCAGCCCCGGCATCAGACAGCACTACAAATATATCTCTACACTTAGGAAAAACATAGGTCTAAAAAAAGCATTGCATAGTGGTAAGCATAATACTAAGGCAGATGGTGGGTGTTAATAGTATGAAATTGTTGCTTTTTGAGAATATTCTAAAAACTGAGTATTTGTTGATGCTTCTTTTAGTTGGATTTCTACTTTTATTAAGGTTACTGAATGTTTTTTTTTTTCTCCATCCAGATGTAAATGTATATTCATTAAATCTATTTATCTTTGTTTTTATTTAAGGAGAGCAGCGGTTCTGCTGCAGTTACCGGAGTCCGTTTCAAGTCAGGGCCTCTTGGGTCCAGGGAGCTTTGCTTCAGCTACAACAACTACACAGAACGCGTCATCGTAAAAGTGGAAGCAGGAATCCCCGCCAAGCTTAAGCTCCTTAGTGGGCCTGAGCTGGTAAAGAAAACTTTTTTCCCCATCTTTTTGATTTTTCAGCAAGTTAAAGGCTCATATCTTTTTATTTTTTGCCAGCCTTTGCAGGTCTTGAATGGTCGCGGTATTCCCAAGCCATTCCTGGTGCAGCTATGTGATGAGTGGGGAAACCCTTCTCCAGACCAGAGAGTGGTGGTAGAGATCAGTACCTCCCCATCGACAGTAAAGGTTGGCTTGAAAAACAGTTAGAAACATCAGCTTAAGTCTTTCACCTCTTTGTGTAGCAAAGATGGAAAGGATAATGCTGTTTGAAACTGTGGTGACAGGTGATGAATTCTGTTATTTCACAACCTGTGGACACAGAAGGAAAAGCCTCCTTCACTGTTAATGCTGTGACAGGGTCAAAGTAAGTCTTACATATAAGACACACATAGATATTGAAATATATTTATAATACGTGGAACATCACTCTCTATATGATCCAATAACTATTTCATTTTCTGCTCTTTTCTTCCACTAGAGGGTACTATCAACTAGAGTTTAAAGGTTGCTTTAACAGGAATCCCATTCCTGGTCCATCTGTGAACTTTAGTATCCTCCCTGATCCCAACAAACCTGTCAAACTGTCAGTAAACTACAATGCCAATGCCAGGTTTCCTGCTGGAGGCACCTTTCCTGGTTTGTATTCCTCCATTTCCTCAAACTGTTCAACCTCTGATCATCCAGCTTAGCAAAGGCTTAGCTGTGCATGTGTGTTTTAGTTTTCTCAGTGACCGTCGTGTCTGATGATGGGAGTCCAATGGCAACTTTTAACCCTGCTGATCTGTCCATGTGGTGGTGGAAGGGAGAGTCATTGTCTCGTCCAAAAACGGTGAGTTAATCAATTTCAGCAAGAGAAAAGCTGTATTCCTTTTTAAGTGATGGATCAGCACCTAGTAGCATTACTGTCAAGGCAATGGAAAAGGTTTGTTTTCCCAGAATGTTGTTTAATGCTAGAAATGTATGCAGTCAAATGGCCTGGTAGGTCTTATCTACAGCTCAGGTAGGAAGATTAGAGATTTGTGGTAATGAAGACATTTTGTTTTTGGAATGTGAATCTTTACCAGGGTTAGAGGAGAGTTGTCAGCATAGATAGGTAGTAGAATTACCTAAAACCAGCATAAATCCTATCTGTCCCCCTTCTAGCAAAACAATGACCACAACCAGGACTAAATAATTCACACTTCAGCTCATTGATCTGTCACAATGGCTCTTTCAAAGTCTGGTTGAGCTAATTTTTAAAGAGAGTGGGTGAATGTTCATTATTTAGAGCTGCAAGCCTACACCCCTAAAGACTTGCAGCTGTTACTGCAAGGAAAATGTTATTTAGTGGAGAATTAAGTACATGTACTCTGCTTTTTGTTGGTCCATCACTCAAGGAACTAATAATGTTAATTAAACTCTGTTGTAGATATGTGACAAATAAGAAAACCTTTTAATGATTTAAAGCTACAGTGTGTAATAATTACAGGGATATACAGTCAGAAATGTAATATATTATACATTACTATGTTATTTATCATCATCTACGAGCTCAGCCTCTTAACTTTAATATTTGCGTTGCCTTAGAATTCGATATTTATAATTACATAGGAGCGGGTCTCGCAGCCATGGAGGCAGACATCTTTGCGCTACGGCAGCCCAGAGCCAACAAACTAGCGATTGCGAGATCGCCAAAACGTCACAACGATGTAGAAAAAATAACGGGTATATTTATTATCTTAAGTCTACATGAAATCTATACCCTACACAGACTAATGAAATACTATCTGTAAAATTATCTATGTAAACAAACCTCATCACTTGAGAAGGTAGGTGATGCGGACGTCGTGGAAAACATTTTGTCCCGTAACGCTCACCGTACTGTTGGGGGGGAGGGGGGGAGATGTTCATGTTGCTGCAGTCTGCAGTCTGACCGCTAGATGTCGCTAAAAGTTACACACTGTAGCTTTAAGTAATTTTGCTTGGTCCAAACCTAAGGAAGTGTTTCTTATCTCCTCTGTTATTAAGGCAACTGAGCTAAAGTGCAGTAAACCACTGGAAAATGAGAAGAAAGACTGCTATCATTTTAGGTAAGTTGAATGTCTGCAATGTTTGTCTTGTTGAAAAACCGTGAGGAGCTTTGATGGCACAGTTCTGGGAATAATATGGTGCTCTTTGCATTTCTTGCATTTTTTTGTTGTTCATTATGTCATTTTCATCCAACAATACAGCTAGGAAACTCTTCTAACTGTGCAAAATGTGTCATCTTTGTGCATTTCATTGCAGAGATAAAGAAATCCCACAAACCGTTGGGAGATACACCATACAGTTCTCTCTGCGTAATGATAAAGTAGAGGCTCTACTGAGTAATCAGGTTGGTTTGCAAATATTTTGAAGGCATTAAAATGCACATCTTAAGCTTTTTATGTTGCCTTATAAATTATACTGTTGTCGTGAAACAATGGCTCAAACATTTCTACATGATTGAACACAGTTGAAGTGATTTTTTTTTAACTCCTCCAGGACTCATGGAAATGTATTTCGTTTTTGCTTTCAGAATCAGCTTTATTGGCTGTTTGTTTACAAGTATGGACGCATGTGTTCTCTCCTCATAACCTACTCTTTTAGCGTTAGTCCGTTTGGAGGGCTTTCTGTCAGTATTTCCAAAGCTGGGCTTTGTATCTAACTTTGAGTTTTGAATTAAGGAAGGAGAAATCACACGTTCTTGTACTTTAGTTTAATCATTTTTCTAAAATTAAACCAAATATTTAAAAAATTAAATAAAGCATACAGACAACCTGGAAAGTAGTCATAGCTCTGGACTTTTTCACATTTATTTGTAATACAGCCTTGTATCAAATAGTATTAATTTGATTTCTTACCTCAAACTTTTGCACAAAATACCCAATTATGATGATGCGAAAATGTTTCGTTGAGAGTGTTTCAACTGTATTAAAAATAGAAAAGTAATTTCAATCATTTTTATCATCCTCATGATGTTTTTGTAAGTTAAAAGGAGTCCACCAGCTGTAATTTGAAAAGACTGGACATGATTTGGAAAGGCATGCTTCTGTCTATGTAGGGTACCACAGCTGACAGTGGATGCCTGAGCGCAAACTCCAAGTATAAGGTCAAGGGGAATGTCTGTAGAAAAGTTTGTTTAGAGACACAAATATTGTGAAGGATTTAGAAACATTCTGCTGTGAGTATCACAGTGAGCACAGTGGCGTCCATCACTCTGAAATCGGCAAGATTGGAACCACCAAGACTCTACTATAGCTGGGCAACCATCGAAACCAAGCAATCGGGGCAGAAGGGACTTAGCCAGGGAGGAGACCCCCAAGAACCCCATAGTCACTCTGTCAGGGCTACAGTGTTCCCTGGGGGGAGAGAGGAGAACCAGAAAGACAGCCATCTATGCAGCAATCCACCAATCAGCCTTTAATGTAGAGTGACAAGAAGAAATCCAGTCTTTCGTAAAAGGCACATGCTAGCCTGTATGGAGTTTGCCAAAACACAGCTGAAGTAATGTGACCATGAGAAACTATATCCTCTCCTCTGATGACAGAAAGATTTTACTTGTCATGTTTGTAGGAAACCCGGCACCAATCATCATCAGGCCAATGTCACCCCTACTCTAAAGCATGGTGGGGACAGCATGATGCAATGGGGATGTATTTTAGCAGCAGGAATCGTAGACTAGATTAGACTAGTCAAGATAGAGGGAACAATAAATGCAGTGATGTACAGGGCTGAATGAAAACCGACTCCACAACGTTTTTGGCCTCGGACTGGGGCAATAACCCAAAGCTCACAGCCAAGATCTCAAAGGATTAGCTTCAGAGCCAATTTTTAAATATGGTGGCGTGGCCAATCCAGAGTGCAGTCTTTATTCCAATTAAACATCTCTGGAAACATTTCCCACCCAATCTGATACAGCTTACGATGTATAGCAAAGATGAATACTTCCTTTAATTACATGGGCTGAGCTTATGGCATCAAATTAAAAAAGACCAAGGAGGGATGTTTGTGCACTCACCAGCACCTTTAGATCACAAGTGTCCTATTCCTTCTGTTTTTATACGTTTCAAGCTGGAAAGCTGGGGTTCCATCATGGTTATCAAAAAAACATTCTCACATCTTCCTTTAGAATAACGGTGATGAAGGGAGACTTGATGCAAAATTACTGCCACAGCCTTAAATCAGCTTTAAGAGATCAGTTATAGCTGCTTTTAAGTTTTGAATGGATCTTAGCATATTTCAAAATTATCAATTATGCATATATTTTTTGAAGATGGCATATTCTAATCATTCCCTTTACATTTTTTATAGCATTTATCTTCTCTAGGGAAGGAGAGAAGAAATCAGTTTATGATCCCCCAGTGGGGAAATTTGTCCCCTGCGTAGCCCCTTACATTCCCTTGGGAGCAGGCATTGCCTCATGGCAGTGTGAATTATCACCAAGCTCAACTCTCCTTAACACTTTTAGAAGAAGAAACCCCCGAAGTTTACCCTGGCCACCTAATTTACTCTGCATTCACTCCTTAAAGCCCACAGTTCAAAGAAGCAAAACAACTTATTTAAAACAGCTCAAACTGCTTTACATTTGAAATATTTTGTATCCAGACATTTTGACCAGATATGATGTACATTGCATGTGTACACTGAGTGTAGATAAGCTATATTAGTGTCTTATTTTATTACATTTAATGTTTATTCATGTTATAGAAGTGGGGGTGCATTCACACCATCCCTGCTTAGTCCGCTTTAATCGGACCATAGGTTGTTTTGGCAGAAAATTTGGGTCGTTTAGGGAGGTATGAATGCACAATCGAACTCTGATGTAGACCAAAAAAACAGTCTGGTAGACTATTAGGTGTAAAAACGACCTTAATGTGTATAGTCCCATACATTTGTTTATTAAGATCATACAGACCTTTTTGAAGAAACCTAAACAAACCTTTGGTTTATTTTCGTCCTGCAGATCAATGTAAATGTTGTGGCCAATAAACCATTCAAGCTGGGACCTGAATGTCAGCCGCGAACCCGGGTCGTTTCTTACAGCACTGACATCACCAGTCGAATCTTAGTTGAGAACATGACTCTGAAGATTATGGTGAGCTGCAGTCCTCACCGTTACTGAGCATGAAAAACTACTACTGAATACTTTTTAGGGGTGAAATTCAATGTTGTAACTCTTACCGCTTTTAATCTCTCCAGGATCAACATGGTAACCCAGCCGGGCAGGATCTGAATGGGGTGGTGTTGATTTCCATGAAGTGTCCTGCTGGGGAGCAGCGCAGAAGCCTCCCTCTGTTTGAAGGTGAAACCAGCACCATTAAAATGACCTTAAAAGAGGGAAGCACCCACATCGAAGTGAGTAACATTTCCTATCAGCCATGTCATCATGAAGTCATTGTGGAAAAACTTTGTGTCATATTAACAGTAATGATTTTTGACAGAGGCTGACGATCGCAGAAAACAGTCCTGGAGACGATGGAGGCAGATATATTGTCATGTTCAAAGCTGAATTGACAATGCTGCCTATACCTCTGAGTCCTTTTGAACTTCCCTTCCATTTTTACAACGGTATAGCTCTCACATGATCATTATAACAGAGCACTCCTGCTATTATAAACTTTAATGCATTTATAAAGCATTTATAGTAATGCAAAAAAAAGTGGAAAAGTGGATAGCTGTTCTTTTATTATTCGGTTATCAGTTGTTATTCGGTTATGAGGAGTGGCGGCCTAGAACTTAGGGAATAGGGCTTAGAATCCTGAGGTTGTGAGTTCAAAACCCACTCCCACAGACTGCCACTCTGGCTCTCTGAGCATAGACACTTAAACCCACACTGCTCTCCGGGCGCTGCACAATGGCAGTCCGTTGGCAAGGAGTTATTTCTTCATTGAGCTATCAATAAAGTTCAATTTCTTTATTTAAAAAGTACAATTGAATGATCAGTTTGAAACTTGTCTTTACTACTGAGCTTCAGTACCTTGATAGTCAAATAATACTTTACAAAACTTTTTACAATTTACGAGTTAAAAACACAAACTTCCACATGATTTGTTATTTTATGTAATAGACTGATCAATAATAGAGTATTAGTGAAGTGGGTGATAAATATGCCTTTTTAAATTTTTTTATAAAGAATAACTTGTATCACCTTTATTTAATCAACCCCCTTTACTCTGATACCACTTAATAAAGTCCACCTTTATTAATCTGTTCCTCAGAAATTTAAAAATAAATTATAGGTCAGAAAAAAAATATTTTTGTTGTGTTGGATCAGCAGAAACACAACCAGCTTAAAAGTGGATAATATTCCTTTTATTAAATATGTAACCTTGTTTTTACATTTTAGACTCTGAGAACCAAAGCAAAATGTCTGAACTGACAAGGAAGAAAGACGAACTGAACACGCTATATAACAATTACGAAAGCTCATGGAACACATATGTGGAACTCCGTCAAATGTTGACGCGTAAGATTTTCACCATTTTTACTTCTGTGTTGCTTTAAGTTTTGTCTCTAGATTACAATTTATTTTTCTCCCCAAAGAGAAAGTCTTGGATTTTGACAAAAAAGAGAAAGACTTCCGAACAATGTTGAGCAGTAGAAATATATCGCTGTCACAATCTTTACCTGTAAGTATTGTAGATTTTTTCTGCTTCCTTATTTAAATCTTAATCTCTTGCTTATTTTTTTCCTCACTGTGGGATTCATACTCATAACTCTTTGAAGGTCCCAGATGTTTTGCGACTTCTGAGAGAAAAGATGGCTGAAAAGGAAAGGATAGAGAGGCTTCCAAGGAGAAAATATACAATTCCTAATTACAGTGGGCAGAATATTCTTGGGAAGGTGATGAAAACAATTCAAGTCATTTATATTTTATTATTCTTATGTAGGAGGCATCCGTCTAAATCCTCTGTTGTTTCTATTGCAGGTTGGTCACCTTGCCGTCATCGCTGATGACGATGCTGCCTGGGTCATCTCTTGGCACCTGTCCGGTGACATGGACTGCATCATCACCAAGACGACAGAAGAAGCTCAGAAGATATACCACCAAGATTGCAGACAGCAGGTCATGGCCCTGGACAGCATTTTTGTGTATCAAGGAAACAGGTAGAGCGACAGCTGTATTGTTTTAAATGTAATGTTTTAATTTTTTCTCTCCAATTGAGCCTGATTGCAATATTAAATGGGCTATATGAATAAACTTAACTTGACTACATATGACTCGTCGGAGGAAACAGTGAATTATATCTCTGTCAGGGTGGACACTTAAAGTTCCTCATCTTGTAAGGAAAACCAGAACAGAATGGGTTTTATTGTGTCAATATCCGTCCATCTTTCCATGCATGTCTTTATCCATCTATTTCCCCCAATTTTATTCCACAGTTATATTCAATCGTCCATCTTTATTTTGTTCACTCATCCATTTTCCCACTGTTCAATGTCCATTCATAATTTTGTATATGTACCCACATATCTTTCCTTTTCGTAATGTGTCAATTGTCTATTTGTCTACCACAGCTGTATCCGTTCACATATGTCAGTGTTTTTCAGCTCTAGTGCTTAAGGAACCCTTCCCTGCATGTTTCCCCACTTTCACACCCCTGAAATCAATTGATAGTAGATTACAGTCTTTGCTGAACTGCAACCATCTGAATCAGTTGTGTTGAAGCAGAGAAACATGTAAAACCTGCAGGGCAGTGTGCTTTGAGGACCAGAGTTGAAGAAAATGATCTATGTATCTCTTTTACCTTTTTGTTCATTCATCCAGTCTTCATTTGTCTACAAACCCAGCTTACTTTCTTCAGTTATCCACCTGTTTCCCACCAATAATACTTAAGACCATTTATTCCCAAACTTTATAAATAAAAACTACCACCTTCTTAAGTGCAATTATATAATTTTTAACTGTTTGTTTTTTGTTTACATGCTTGTAAAACGAAAAGTATTTGTGCAAAAATTATTTGGAAAGTTGTTTTAGAAATTTTAAAGCCCTCATTGAAAGGGATTTGGGAGGAAAAATAAGGTTGCTGTGTTTCCGCCATATCTATAAATAGATCAAAAATGCACATATTGGAGCTGGGCCTTTTGGGGTTAAGATGTTAAAAACAAAACCATCGCAAATGACAGTTTCAGCTGCTCAAATCTGCACTAAAAAAGTTCAACCATTCAGTCTATTTGCTGAATTTTGTTTTTTTTTTTTCCCATGGGTTGGCTGTCAGCTTCGCTTGTGGTTATTGAATTGGGCTTGTGTGCTTGTGTAGAGTAAAATATGTTTGTTTAGCATTATTTAAGCCTGTGGTGAATAAAAACAGGTGACTTCAATGCATCCCTGTGGTCTAGGTTCACTTTTGTTATAATCCTGAAGCCATAATTATGCCACTTAGTTATACCACTTCACAAAACACTCCTTTGTCAAATAGCTTTTTGTCATTAAATTGCCCTTAGTGGCAAAATTACTCCAGAATTGGCAACGCATCTACAGTTCCTTGCAAAATAAAAAATTCCTGTACCCAAAAATTTTTAATTAAATCTTAACATCCTACTACAGTTTATTTTACAGTTTATTTTTATAGTGTAATGTAATATCAATTTTACCAAATGTTGAGGGAAATATATGTAAAATCAAAAGTTTGTTAAACATGAACAAAATTATTATTTCCTTGCTCATTATTGGAGCATTAACTAGTTAAGCTCTAAAGCAAAAAAAGACGATTAACTACCTGACTTTCGACATGACAGAATTAATAGCATCCTCTCGCAATGACTGTTTGAAAAATGGTTGAACATGTCAGTTCAACATAAACTTAAAAAAAACATGATGATGTGATTTGATCTGTTTAATTCCTTGCAGACCTCTACCTCACATTAGAAATGGCCAGGGACTTTTCCAACCTCGTGGGAACCCAATCTACGCAAGGCACCTGCTTGTTTATCCCGAAAATGAGAAGGACTGTGAGCTTGGTGAGCTGCAACATGCTTATTTTCTTTTTAGTTTATTTTTGGGCGTTTTTTTTTTTGTTTGTTTTTTTGTTCCAACGGGCTTATAATAAGAATTTAGGGCTTTCGTAGATTTCTCACTCTTGATCTGGTATCTTTGTGATTTTTTTTCTGGGATAATTTTTTGGCAGTATTTCTAACAATATATTGGGACTTTTATGGAAGGCTTCTACATGGATTCTAAACTTGCATATACAGTGAGGAAAATTAGTATTTGAACAACCTGCTATTTTGCAAGTTCTCCAACTTAGAAAACATGGAGGGGTCTGAAATTGTCATCGTAGGTAGATGTTCACTGTGAAAGAAATCCATCCATCCATTTTCTTCCTCATTATCCGGAAAGGGGTCCCGGAGGCACCAGTCTAAGCAGAGGTCCCCACACTTCCCGATCAACACACACCTCCTCCAGCTGCTCTGGGGGAACCTGAGGTGACACTAGGCCAGCGTGTCCTGGGCCTTCCACGTGGCGTCCTCCTAACAGGACATGCCTGGAACACCTCCCGAGGGAGGCGACCAGGAGGCATCCAGAACAAATGCCTTAGCCACCTCAGCTGGCTCCTTTCTACGTGGAGGAGCAACAACTCTACTCCAAGCTCCTACCTAGTAACTAAGCTCCACGCCCAATTTCAAAGGGAGCACCCAGCCACCCTGCAGAGGAAACAAATTTTGGCTGCTTGTATTCGCGATCTTGTCTTATCTCGCGGTCATTACCCAGATTTCATGACCATAGCTGAGGTTGGGAACATAGATCGATGCAACTGATTCAGCTCCCTCCTCTCCACGACAGTCCAATACAGTGACCGCCTCACTGCCGACGCCGCACCGATCCGTCTATCGATCTCACGGTCCATTCGTCCCTCACCCATGAACAAGACACTGAGATATTTAAACTCCTCCACTGAGACAAGGACTCCTCACCAAACAAAGAGGGGAGTCCACCTTCTCCAGTGGAGAACCATGTTCTCGGATTCAAAGGTGCTGATCTTCATCCCAGCCGCTTCACAATGGGCTGCAAACCACTCCAGTGCACGCTGAAGTTCCTGAAGCCAACAGGACAACATCATCTGCTAACAGCAGAGATGATTTCCTGAGATTCCTAAACCAGACATCCTCTGGTCCCTGGCTAAGCCATGAAATTCTGTCCATAAAAGTAATGAATAGAACCGGGGACAAAGGGCAGCCCTGGCAGAGACCAACATGCACCGGGAACAGTTCTGACTTCCTACTGGCAATGTGAACCATGCTCCTGCTGCGGTCATACAGAGAACGGACAGCCTTTTACTCCTAGAGCCCCCCCAAAGGGCACCACAAGGGACATAGTCAAAGTAAATCCTCCTTAAGACTTAGTCGCATGAGCTGTCAAACAGCTTCAATTGAGTTTTTAGGTTTTAAGTGAGATTTTATTGAACACTAAACAGTTAAGTATTAATCTAGTATCTAAAAGCTTTCCTCTTGTTTTTTTGCAAGTATTTAAAAACCTCCTCGGTGACACTATCCTGATGGATGACATGGACTCTGCCACCAACTACAGAAAGGCGGTGAGTTATCCTTGCTGACAGTGTTTCTAAGCTACCGGTTATTTGCTTGTTTATCCTACAATTACTTGCCGTTTGCAGGTTGTTCAGAACAGGATTTCCTGTCCCACTATATTGACACGGCAAGGGAACAGGCTCAGCGCCAAGGGCAAATTTGGGGGACTGACCAACAAAGCACCCCCAAGGGATAGAGTGAATATGTTTGGAGCCCCTCTACCACCATACTACTACACACTGAAGGACGACATAGGTGATGGCTCAAATAAACCATTGGTATACCTTTTTAGTGTGTAAAGTGAGATTTTGTGTGCTGAAATATATCATTTTCTTCCCCCGAATAGATCTGCTCTCTAAGTATCAGGTTACTTTGGAGAAGAAAAAGCAGTCTGAAGATGAACGTGATAGGATTGTAAAAAAGTCTCCTGAAATACAACAGAATCAGCAAAGAATGAGCGTGATAAGGAAAGAGCTTGACGAGATTGAAAGGCAGCTGGGTAGGTTTTTTTTTAATGTACTAAATCAAATGGCCTCATGCTTTCCCCAAACATGGTCTATACTCTCCTCTTATTTTGCAGAGCCCTGCCAAAAAAAAAGAAAAATAACACAGACATTAGTGAAACCTTTATGCAACTGTTGACTTTCTGTAGCTTGAAACTGAGCATGTACAGTACAGACCAAAATTTTAGACACACCTTCGCATTCAGAGAGTTTTCTTTATTTTCATGACTGAAAAATTGAAGATTCACACTGAAGGCATCAGAACTATGAATTAACACATGTGGAGTTATATACTTAACAAAAAAGTGTGAAACAACTGAAAATATCTCTTATATTCTAGGTTCTTCAAAGTAGCCACCTTTTGCTTTGATTAGTGCTTCGCACACTCTTGGCATTCTCTGGTCATCCAGGTCATCTGGCACAGTACCCTATCACTCGCCTTCTTTGTCAAATAACCCTTGGGGTTGCTGTGTTATTGAAAAATAAATGATGGTCCATCTAGACGCAAACCGGATGGAATAGCATGCCGCTACAAGATGCTGTTGTAGCCATGCTGGTTCAGATGCCTTCCTTAAGAATAAATCCCCAACAGTGTCTCCAGCAAAGCACCCCAACACCATCACACCACCTCCTCCATGCTTCACGGTGGGAACCAGGCTAGTAGAGCCCATCCGTTCACCTTTTCTACGTCGCACAAAGACACAATGATTTGAAACAAAGATCTCAAATTTGGACTCATCAGACCAAAGCAAAGATTTCCACTGGTCTAATGTCCATTCCTGTTGCAATTTAGCCCAGGCAAGTCTCTTCTGCTTGTTTCCTATCCTTGGCAGTGGTTTCCTAGCAGCTATTTAAGCATAAAGGCCTGATTCACACTGTCTCCTCTTAACAGTTGTTCTAGAGATGTGTCTGCTGCTAGAGCTCTGTGTGGCATTGACCTGGTCTCTAATCTGACCTGCTGTTAACCTGTGATTTCTGAGGCTGGAGACTGGGATGAACTTATCCTCCACAGCAGAGGTGAATCTCGGTCTTCCTTTTCTGGGGCGGTTCTAATGTGAGGCAGTTTCTTTGTAGGGCTTGATGGTTATTGTGATTGCACTAGGGGACACTTTCAAAGTTTTGCCAATTTTTCGGACTGACTGGCCTTCATTTCTTGAAGTAATGATGGCCACTCGTTTTTCTTTACTTAGCTGCTTTTTTCAGCAGTCTATTCAGTAGGACTATCAGCTGTGTATCCACCTGACTTCTGCACAACACAACTGATGGTCCAAACCACATTTATAAGGCAAGAAATCCCACTTATTAAACCTGACAGGCGACACCTGTGAAGTGAAAACCATTTTAGGCGACTACCTCGTAAAGCTCATCAAGATAATGTCAAGAGTGTGTGAAGCAGTAATAAAATAAAAGGGTGGCTACTTTAAAGAACCTAGAATATAAGACATTATTTCAGTTGTTTCAAACTTTGTTAAGTATATAATTCCACAAGTTAATTCATAGCTTTGATGCCTTCAGTGTGAATCTTCAATATTCATAGTCATGAAAATAAAGAAAACTCTTTGAATGAGAAGTTGTGTCCAAACTTTTTGTCTGTACTGTACTTTCTAGAACGTTCTGTACTTTTCTATCAATGTCAATGTCAAATTTATTTATATAGCACTTTAAAAGCAGGTATAAAACTGCACCAAAGTGCTGTACAGGACAAACAATAGTACTAATTAATAAAAACAGATTATCAAAACACTTCAAGTAAATGCCAAAGAGTAAAAATGAGTTTTAAGAAGCGATTTAAAATCATCCAGGCTGTGGGCAGATTTAATTTGAAAAGGTAAATTGTTCCATAAAATTGGAGCAACAACAGAAAAAGCCCGATCTCCTTTCCTCTTAAGTCGGGTCCGAGGGACTGTCAATAATAGCTATACCAGTCTCTTTTTGGAACTGAACAGGTTCTTTACTTAAATTCAAAATTTATTTTCCCTGAACTCATACTCACAACTATATTCTTGAAACTTTCACCAGAATTGCATTCCTATACTTTCATCACACTCATTTAGTTCTTTCTAGAACTTCTCTTAAACATGCCAGGTTTTCTTAGGCATTTTTATTGAAATGTTTCCCTGTACTTCTAACATTACAGACACTTTCCTGGAACTTAAACAATAGATTTCTTGTAATTTTAAGAAAAATAGATGGTATTTTTTCTTAAATTTGATTAAGATATGAGTTGACTTATAACTGGATAATTTCCTAGATTTCAGCTAGTAGTGTCATTTTATTTAGAAGTGTATTGATTGCTTTTTTTAATGCTAGCATTTACCCCTTGTGTAATATTGCTTTTCATGTTATTTGTTGTTGTTTTTCTTACAGCATCATCATCATCGGTGAGACTAGGTAAACGAGCTGCTGCAAACATGTTGGAGCCCTCTAGCCTCCTAACGAAGCGCCCAAGATAAAATATCATTGGGTTGTAGTGATACTTCTACTTAATTTAGCGTTTTTCTTAATTTCATTTTAGTCCGTTTTGAAAGTTTTAAGACTGTAAAGTTTCCAACTTTAAAAGTTAATTTACTACAAACCTTGGCACATTTCAGTATCTGAAGTCTTTAAGTTTAAAAAAATAAACTAATGTTTCCAGAACATGTATTTGAGTGTGTACCCATTTTTTTATTGAACGTTATTTTTTACATATTGTGAAACTTAAAGCACATTTTATAGTTTGTTGCTTTTCAATTAAAGAAATGGTCATTAGACCTTTTTGCACTACAAAACATTGATTCTGCCTTTTTTTTATCCAAGAAAGTGGAAAGTAATCTGTCTTTATATTGCAGCGTGTTCCAAAAAATGCACATTAAAGGATCCTGGGCAATTATTTATGTTTGGATGTGTGCATTGAGCCAGATTTCCAGCGTTGCACTAGAGATGGGTAGAGGTGGTGGGTGGCTGGATCTAGCTCTAAAGGCTGACCAGGGAGCTCTCACAACGGGCAGTGTGCCGTATAGTGAGGGAGAGGTCGATTCTAAAAGCTACAGGAGGGATATAAATGATTTAACAATCCTTTTGAGGGCTAAATTAAAAAGTATTTTTTAAAGGCCACCCAAAAAACCTCCCAAGAGCATCATTACTTCATCCTATCTCAACTTTTTTTTTCTGTCTTCCATTGGGATTGAAAAAAAATTCCTTGACTCCACTGCACTCTTTGATTTATTATTTGATTATTTTAGTTTTTTGACCTGTTACGAAAAATACAATCTTAAAAAAAAAAGAATGAAATACAATGCACAAATTTATTATTAGTATTATGTTTTAAAAAAAAAACAGTAACCATTAAGATTTTTAAATAAATAAAACACAAAACTTAAACAGCTTGTATTAGAAATAGTGCCCCTTGATTTCTTGGAATTCAAAAGTGCCTTTTCCAAATATTTTATGGATCTGTAATGTGGTCAGTCTATGGCTGAGCCATTTTCTGTTTGCTGCAATGAGGTCCTTCAAAATTTTATGAAAATATCTGAAAGTAAAAATAATAAATAAAATTATAAAAAGCAGATCTGAACTTGACAATAAAACTGAAATAAAATGAAGGAAATGCTCAAAAATCATAAATTGTAATTAGGAATTAAATAGCAGTCTGAAAGAATGTTGGCTTATTTTCTTATATATATGTGTAAAGATTAAAGATTTACATTATGTTTTAACATTATTCATTCCAAAACATTTAAAAGACAATCCACTGGACTTTGTTTCCAAGTTTGAAGATAATTCGCTTCTCATCCAGGAAGCTTTTTTTAATTAAAAATGTCAGAAATTGCGTTGAGTTTTAACATTACATTTTTCAGTTGCAATTATTTCCTGGCTCAGTACTTTCTGGTTAGTCATCAGTCATTCGTTATTATTGGATGATATAGGGTTATACCTATCTAAAAAAACCTATTTAGATAGTTACACCTACTGTACCTACAAGGGGCAAAATGTAAAGTTTGACTGAGAAAATATCCCCTTTCTTCTATCTGGTCTGAGCAGTCCTAGTCAGCTAAAGGTCTATGTTGCTAGAAAGCCGTGACTAAAACAAAAGAAGAGTTCACAGCACAACACAGGTAGGTGTTTTTCAATCATAGTAGGCGTTTCTTTTTTTTCTTTTCTTTTTTTGCTTGTGGGTGGTTTCCAACAGCAAAACCTGATTAACCACAATCTCTATGGCTGTAAATCGATGGATCACGGAATTAGCCTTATAATAGTTCTTGCTCAAAACCAGAGTGAAAAGTTAAGTCTGCATTGATATTCATCTATGAATATGCTTTGGGAAAGAGCTGAACAAATACTTGCTTGGACTTTGTATTTTGGACACTCCCCAAAGACTGCATACAGTAGTTCTCCCATTTTGGAAGTCTCTTTGTAGCAGGGAACGTTACACAAAATGCTGCAAGTGAATGACTGCCGCTTTGAAAAAAAGGTCATCAAGAAAACTTTGGAAACCAGTAATTTGGACTTCAATGGCTTTCTGCAAGTTGTAAAAAAGGTAAATTTTGGCTTTTTTTTTTTTTTTGTTCTAGTGGTTTGACTCCTTTTTAAAAGCTTGAGCATTGTTTCATGGGACTCTAAAGAGAGCTAAGTTATTATTTGTCAAAATAGTTACAGCTCGATTTTCAATAAAGTAATGTGACATGCAATGAATCTTTTTTTTTTTAGATGGGTTTGGCCCATCTCTGTTACAAGGACATGTTATTTCATAAAGGTAGGATCGAAGGTCTTCACTTACTCGGCCTTTATCGGCCCTCAAAGTGAAGATCGCTTAGAATTTCTTAGAAATTCTGAAAACAGCTTTTATCTTTATCTGCTGGATCACCTGCAACTGACATCTCCCTCAGATAAAACATAGCTGTGTGCACAGCTGAAGGATACATCTGTAGGATTTATACCACAGGGAAAAAAGTGAATAACCTCTAAGACAAAAACAGTAATGTTACATTTTTTTCTAAAAGACAAAAAAAGAATTAGTTCATTTTATTTTTTCAGGGATTTACAATCCTGAGTAATTTTGCTGCCAGGAAGAACATTTTAATTTCCCTTATCTTACTAGATCCAAATCCATTTGAGATCAAGATCTACAGCACACTTTTAAAGATGGTCAATTAACCACTAAAGCAATCATAAAAATATAAACTAAAAGAAAGAAAATATGTGAATTTCAAGAGGTTAATAAAATTAGAGCTAATTGTTTAAGATAATTATCAAGCGATGGGTCGATAGTTGCTATTTTACCTGTTTGATTTGAATATAATTAACATGTATCATTATAGTTAATAATCAATTATTTTTAATCAAAGGCCACAATAAAAGAAAATACCTGAAATGGTTGTGATAAATGTTTATAAGCCTCAAATGAATATAACTAAGAATTTAGTTTATTAATTAAAAATATTAACTTATGTACCTTGTAAAGTGGGCAGTTAATCAGTTCAGACTGAGTGATTTTATCCACCAGTATATGTTAATAAACTTACACAATAATTACAATTGGAGTTATTAATCATTAACCATAAAAGGGAAGATTTCTTTAATTTGGCTGTTAAATAAAATGTAGAAAGTTTTAATAATTCCAGAAGACCAGCACAGATGTTTTAGCAGTGCACAAGCAAGCAGTGGCTAATCTAGTCAGGCAGCAGGATGGAGCGGACGGACCAGAACAATAAGCCAACCAGCTAGCCCCAGTTAACCTAAGAAGGCAGGAAGGGAGAAGTGAAAACCAAACCAAGCTGATTAAACCATCAGCTATCAGCTAGTCTCAATGGTGGGAACCAGCTGAGGAAAAGCTCTATTCTAATGTTAGGTTTATGTCTAAGGTGTGAGTTCAGTTTAGGTTACTGTTATGCTGGTAATGGTTTGGTTAAAACCATACAATTGAATAGAAGCCAACAAAAAGTCCCTGTAAAACATTGAAACACAACGTGTGTGTGCTCCTTTCTTGAAAGGTTTAGGCTAAATGTCATGTTGTGGATTTGATAAAACAATAATTAAAGGTTTGTTTCAGTTCAGTAAATCTGAAATTTTACCCCTGATTATTTGCCAAAGATGCATACCTTTAAAAATAATTTACTGAACACATCAGTGTTTCCCAAACTTTTTTGACTTGTGTACCCCTTTGGGCATTTTGTCTTACCATGAGTACCCCAGATTACAAACTAAAAAATATTAAACTCAATCTTTTAATTTGATAATTTCATTCTTAGGTTCTTTTCATCTCAATAATAAAAAAAAAAACTAAACATGTTGCCTGGAAATTATTAAGGAATCAAAATAAATACAAAATAAAATCATATGTTAAACCTGTATTTATAAACCTGGAACTCCTCTGAGTAACTCCATTATAATCACATTTAAACTTGATGAATTGGAAACACAATTCAGAACAAAAATTATAGTCAGACTGACTTAATTCATTTTACTTTGTTTTTATCCAGACACCTGAGCTGCTTTGATAAGCTCTGATAGATCAGTGTAAAAACAGTCTGTTGCTCTGCTTGGTTTTGATGTGTGCTGCAGCTGAAGGGTCCTCACTGAATTGGGTCCTCACAAAGCAAAACCGATCCCAGCCCTTTTCATTTTACTGCTTAAAAAAATTAAATAGTTTCATGTACCCCTTGCAATGCACCTGGATTACATTATTAACTTAAAACATGCAAAACAGTTTTTTTTTTTCAGTACCAACTCTTTGTCCCACTTTAATGAGTGTTTCTGATCAGTTTTATAATTGCATGATGGTACAAACAGAGTCTAGCTATTTGCAGCTAAACTGAAAATCAATCTTTTGGACTTAATAAATTCCAATGATTTAGACTAATCAGCTGTTTATTCATTCTTCTTAAAAAGTTTTCTGTAATTCATGACTTAAGTCTCATCAAGAGTTGTAAGGAACAACCAGTACCAATTAAATAAGAGTTTGTTAAATGGAATGTTATATTAAAACATGTCTTTGCAAGAATAACAAAACTATGAATTGTTTTCCCTGGCAAACTGCAGGATGATGATACTAAAATATAATTCCACTCACACATGCTTGCTCTTGCCTAGGCCTTAGAATTACACAGGCCATGACTTGCCCAAATATGGGAGGTTTTAGACACAAAAGCATCCTTAAAAAGGTACTGTGAGTATAAGATATTTTCACTGTTTATCGTTCGAGATTACTTACTGTTTTAAAATGTTTTTTGAGTTCTAAGCATTTTCATACACAGAATATAATCACAGGATAAAGAACAAGGGATAGATCCTAAAAACAACATTTACATTTATATTATTAAGGGCTTCTATTATTATATATAAAACTCAAATAAATGTTATATTTTCATCCAGACAAATGTATCTGTTATTCACTTTAACAGCAGAAGTTCATATATTCAATTCAATTCAACGAGTTTATTTATATAGAGCCATTTCACAACACATGTTATCTCAAGGCACTTTACAAAGACAATTCAAACAGATCCTACAGTCACACTGGTTAACTACATAGGAAGCCCATAGGTGTCACATAATATACACCCATTGTTTTGATTATGTCTGCTGATACCAATATAGACTACAGTATTTACACCATACTCTAAAGGGAGAATGCACCTCCAACTTAAATTAATTGCTTCAATTGGTAACAATCACAGCTGCTATTCTTTGTAACGTTACGATCCATCTGTGGCTGTCTAACCATTGAGAATGCTGTTTACATCTGAAAAGCAGCTGTGATTGATTTAATTGTGTTTTCAGTGTGCTGAAGGACCAGAAGGGTCACAATGGAAAACGGAAACCGTTAGAAGAATAAATAGGGCCAGAAGGATCATGGAAATGTTAAATGAAGTGGGTAAAGCAAACATTAAATGCAATTTCACAAAGGACTTGAAAATTAAATAGAATAAGGAATATCCTTTTTAGAGGTGTGATTAGATAAGTTATTTAGATTTAGATTTCTGAATTTTTTTTTTTTAAATCTCCATTTAGAAATAGCATTTAAAAATAAATTTTCCAATTCCGGTATTTAATAATGGATTATAATATAAAACTTATAAATGATCTTTAATAATTCAGTTTTAACTATGTTTTAAGTGAGATTTCAAATTGCATGCTTAAAATGTTGTTTTAAATAGCTTGTTTGTTTTTACTTGACTCATTTGGTCCTCCATACAGGCTCTTCATTTCAACTCATATCAGGCTGATTAACGATAATATTGCAGGAACTGAATCTAGAAGGACATCAGAGTTTTCTTTTTAAACAATGTGAATATAGTGAGCTATAGGTATTCATCTCTTTTATGGCCCAGTTCAAAAACCTGTAAACATTTTTTTTACTTTAACCATTCGCTGGTCTAAGCACTATGATTACATTTTTGGATCATCTCTAAAGTAGAATGCTGATCTGAATTCATCATATGTGATTGTGTAAAAGTAATTTATTTGTCATGGGCCCAAACAAGACACGGAAAGGCAAACATCTTTCTAACAGAGAGCAGGAGTCCCATTACTTTTAGAAATGTAATTATTTATTTGTGATGTATGATTAAGTTACAGACCAAGAAATGAAGCCTTTTTTTGTTCTTTTCAGAACATTTCACACATCCTTGAGAAGTAAGGGACCAGCCATCAGCTTTGTATAAAAAATGATGGCAAGTTTGCCCTTAGTTTTTCACTGTTGAATTGATCGGTTTCATGTACCCGTGTAGTTGAAAAGCGCTTAACCTTTCCTGGTTTGACTGCATTGCAGGGTGTGGCAATAAAAAGTAGTAACATGTTTCAGCTGTTGATTAAAACTGTTGTGGCAAACCAATGGGGAAAGAAGGCCAGTTCTTAAAGGTGTTTATTTGTATGTCTTATTTTGTGTGAACTTGGATTTATTAGGTAATGATTTGTATTTATTTAACTATTTATCTATGTTTTGTTTTTGTATTTTCTTTGAGTAAAAATTGTTTAACCTCTTGTATGTTCTGATTATCCCCTTACCTGTTTTCTTTGCTGTTAATCAGGGTAGTATTTTATAATGGACAGTTAGTTGCTTTCTCTGTAAAATTATTTTTGACATTATGCTTTTCCCTTTTGCTGACCAAAACTGACATAACATTAATTTGTTTTATTCCATTTTCAATTCAATTCAATTTATTTCTATGGTGCCAGTTCACAACACAAGTCATCTCAAGGCACTTTACAGTTCAACAGATCATACAGTCAAATTGATTCAAAGTTTTCTAAGAAAAAACAGTTGATTGCATCAACTCATTGACTCGAATGCAATCCCTCACACTAAGCATGCTTGTAGCGACAGTGGAGAGGAAAGCTCCCTTTTAACAGGAAGAAACCTCCAGCAGAACCAGACTTAGTTTGAGCGGCCATCTGCTGAGGCCGACTGGGGTTCAAGGAGACAGAAGCAGAGATACAAAAAGCAACTGTAAAGGCGGCCTCATCTAGGAAACACACTGCAAGACAGACAAGCACCGAGCCAGCTCCCATGTCAGAGGATGAAGAGAGCACATCCAGCCAGTCACAGTCAGAGAAACAGGACTACACTGGAAAGCAGGCAGATCTCAGACAACTATAAACAACGGTGTTGATGGCAGGAGCACAGCTCATATTTCTGTCCAGGATGGTGTCACAGCCACACAGGACCAGACGAGGTGAAGCTACTATGAGAAAAAGCAGAGAGAGAATAACATTAGAGATTGAACTAACGGATTCTGCAGAGTGGGAGAATAGAGACAGGAGACAGAATAAAGCAGAATATAGAAATGGGGGTCCCTTTGTCCTCCAGAAGTCTAAGCCTATAGCAGCTAGAACTAGAATAAATAGAATAGAATTCAACTTATTGTCATTACAATGTCACAAGTACAAAGCCAAGAAATTCACTGTTCTGCATTTAACCCATCTCCTTGGGGAGCATTGGGCTACAATTGTGTGGGGTTTGGGGTTTAAGGAATGTGGGGGTTAAGGGTATTTTGCTCAGGGACCCAGAGTGGCAGTCTGTGGGAGTGGGGCTTTTCAGGACCTTTGGGTTCCAAGCGCAGTGCCCTAACCACCAGGCAACCAGTCCACAGCATCAGATACAGTTATAGTACAAAGTGTAGTAGAGTCACATTTCTAAACATTGTTTACAGTAGCTAAAGTATGCATTCATCTAACAAGAAGGGTCTGTGTAAGTTTTTTTTTTTTTTATTTCATGCTCAGTTTTGGGTGTTTTATAAGCAGATATATTTTGGATTCAAATGTAATACTGAAAAAGTATTAAAAAGTTATTCCAGAATATTTTCTCACCTACAGCAGACAATCTCCTGGTTTTATCCACTTCTATTAAATATCCATCCAATTGTGATATAACAAGCAACCTAATTGCAACCACTTGCCTTTTTGTTACTACTTTGTTACTGTGATTATATGAGAAACATAAAATCATGTTTTTGTCCCAACAGGAATTTGCTGTCGCTTCACATGAAACTTTTGTTTTGACCACAACTGACAGAATAGTAGTGGACGATATAAAATTTGGTGAGTAAATCTGTTCATGTTTGTACAAACGTTAGTTCTTGTTGGGGAGACAACAGAAGATTATTCATTTACTCATTATAGACAAGGTGAAGAACGAGAGGACCCTCTACCTACTACGAGAGAAAGACCAAGACCTCCCAGCTTCAGTTAATGAGGAGGTTAAATTTGTTCCTCACTACAACACACTGACTGAGTGTGGGACAAATGAATACTTCACCGAGGGCCAGAAATCACTACGTGAGTTATTGTGTGACGAAAATGGTACTGCTGAATTGGTAACATAATGGACAATCTAAACCTTTGTCTTATGATTTTTCAGCTTGTGCTCTTGCTGAGTTGGTGGACAACGCTCTTTCAGCTACTGCAAAAAACACTGGACTCAGGGAGATAGAGATAAGGGTGGTTGGTTTTGGGTTTTTTTTGTTGCCTTTTTAACTATGTTTTCTTTTAAGATGTTAAAAGCTTTAGATTTAGTAATTGTATGACTGAGCTGTGATTTAAACTTTGCCACACCTGTCTGCTGTGGTCCTTAGTCTTTATGATGCTGTTTATTCACTAATGTTCTCAATCAAACCTCTAAGGTGTTCACATAACAGTTCAAAGTACACAAGGTGTCAGATTAAAGAGGGGTGACTACATAGGTACACTACACTCTGTGGCTAATAGTTTGAATAGTTTGCAGTTTTTTTTTTCTTTTGCTGTCCAATTATGAGTCACCTTCTATGTCATTGTTATTAGAAAAAATGTGGAAAGGTTGAATGTGAATGAAAATTTTAGAGGCATGTTGTGGAAATGTATCAACAAAGTTATAAACCTCTTGATAATTTTAGTAATAGTGTCATGTCTTAGCTTTTTTCCTCTTTCCTTTTTTTGCCAGATGTTTGACAGAACTTTTGGGAAACCTGCAATAATTGTCTTAGATAATGGGTGCGGAATGACCTCAAAGCAGCTCAATAACTGGGCCGTGTACAGACTCTCTAAGTTCACGAGGGATAACAGCCTGTTTGAAGGGTAGGTTTTTCTGTGAAAATCTCAGATTTTCCAGTCAGTCAGTTGAAGCAAAACCCTGTTCTATTCAGTGCCTCTCTAATTTCTTATGATTAAATTTAGGGAAAGAGAGGGGTATGTTTTCCCTGATCCTGTACCTCGGAGTCTCAACAGTGACATATCTTTTTTTGGAGTTGGAGGGAAAAGAGCATGTTTCCACATGGGCAATGCTGTCAGAGTAAGTATCAATATCATTTTAATCATTAAAATGCAGGAGTTGGGGCTATTACTTCCATTTTTTATCTACTATAACACCAATGTAAAACATTAGTAATTAGAATATTGTGAAAAAGTTAAATATTTCTGTAAGCAAACAAACCTGCCTTTCCTTAAATAGGTATGGGCAATGTGACTTAAACCTCTAATCTCAGATTTTTTTCTCTTCAAATCTTAACATTCTTTTAAGATGGATTTGTTGTGAGGCTGAAAACTCAGATCTTGTGACAGTTCAGCTTGCAGCACAAGGTTAATGTAGAGAGGCAAAGCAAAAATATTTGTAAAGTAATGACAATCTACACTATTTACTCAAATGCAAAAACTGCTTTAATAAGTCACCTATGTACTGTCTCTGCTTAGCTGCAGTGACACTGCACTAAGGCACTGCAGAGACTCCTATACCACCAACTAAATTGTTGGTTGCTGTTCTCTACCTGCTCCCTCCTCCCACACAGTGTTTTTAAAACAGGAAGCCAGGAAGGCAACCAATGGCCACAAAATAGTCAACTAGAAACTCATCCCAAATGCAGTAGGAAGGTCCTTATGATAAAAATCATTGACCAAATTGCTATTCAATTTTGGAGATATATCTGTTGGTTGGGGATCATACAAGTTCAGTGAAAGTTCCATAATGTCAAACATTTATTCATATTTTAAATTACTTCATCTTCCATTTGTAAAGTGATATCGTCCTGTGTTGTTAAACATTGAAGATGTAGGTATAGTTTACTTCCAGAGGCTCTGCCCAGAAATGCTTGAACGAGTTATATGAATTTGGTATCAAACAAATGGGTCACTTGCAATGTTCCCTCAAAGCTGTGCACTCGTGTAATTGTGCCCTGTTCGCTCATTCTCAGCACACAAAAATATCTATGGAGCGCATAAAATACAATCTAACATAAACTGTTAATCAATAAGGCTAATACATTTTTTTCAGATCTTTTTATCATTAATTTTTCAATTTAACACATCTAAGCATATGCTGAGACATTCATGTCTCTGGATATGCAGACAAGAGTCTGCTGTGCTCACTTACCTGCTGAAGCTGCAGCAGACATGTCACAGCACTCATTGTAAAGGAATCACACCTAATCAAATTAACATGCAAGGGAAGTTTAATTGTATAACATATTTCAGCAGCAGTAATAATGTAAGTGTATTACATGGAAAAGAAAATGTTGGGTTAATTAATTGTACATAAGTTATTCTACTTTAATCATATTATACTTACACATTTTGTTATCTCTATCTTACTCATATTACAAAGAGTGTTAAAACATTTAGTTTTGTTTGCTGTGTCATTAATGTTTTTTAAGTCTGTGCAGGAGGGATGTTGACTGCGACTGCTGTTAACAGATGTCGTTAAGGGTGTGGAGGAGAATGGAGAACTGTGCAACTAGATAAGGAGAGGGGTTCTCCTTATCCTCTGATGTTGTATGATGTTGTACGAAAATTCTGGTTTCAACTGGGTTCTGTTCCCTCCCCCTTTAGCGGTTGAAACCACATTGTAATCAGGGCGTTTCTTCAATAAAGGGCTTGGAGAGCAGATACTGCTTCAGAGTGGGTTTGAAGTTGTAACTGAATGCAGTTTCTGATCCCCTCTCCTTGCAAGTAAAATATACTAAATTCTCTGTGTCATTCTTTGTGCAGGTTGCTGAATAAGGTGTTTGGTGTTCAAACCTAACATTAATTGGTCCTTCGAGCCGGATTGCAAGATACCCGACGACCCCCAGCAGGTGAGTGAGATCCAGATAAGCCTGCGGCCGCAGCAAAGAGACCCTTTACGGGACTGGTCTCTCCCTTACAAGCTGGGGTCCGACGGTTGAAGCATTTCGAGGACGCAGAGAATTGTGAGTAGTTTTTCTTTTAATAAGGAGTGAGTGAATTATTGGAAGAAAAATATATAAAATATAAAAAATTTATAAAAATATAATAATATAAAAAAAAAGAAAAAAAGATCGAAGTGAAGGGCGTGGGGTCACGAGATTCCCCTTTTGAAGTCCTCTCAGCGTGGGGTCACGAGATTCCCCTTTGCAAACAGTTTAAACCTCGTGAAGGACGGCGGTGTCCTCTATCTTAAATAGTTAAATTCCGCATGGGGTAACGAGGTCCCCCTTTTGTACTAAAACCCTGACAATTCTAGACTCTATCAGGTAAAATAGAAATTTTAAAACAGTTAAAGTCCGCGGGAGGGCAGGCTCCCCTAGTTTGTAAGGGCAGGCTCCCCGAGTTGTAAACTAGTTAAATTCTGCATAGGATAGCGGCGTCCTCTGTGTTTAAAATAAGTAAACAGAAATAAAGTAAAAGTTAACTGCGCAGTGAGTGTGTGTGTGTGTGTGTGTGCGTGTGTAAGGAAATATAGATATCACTAGATATCTGTATTTCATACCAAAAAGACAAGGGTTAAATGGTGAGCTTTTGTGGATGTTTGTAGACAAGAAAACTCCACCTGTAAGGGTTGAAGTGAGTTTTACCACAAAAAGTCGTTGATCACCATCTTGTCTGAAGCCCCAGTGTTTAGAACACGACAGGTGTTGAAAACCCACTGGGCCCAAATTTAGTTCAAAATGGGAAAGGGGCAAAGTAAAGAAAAACAGAAGTTATTGGAGGAACTCCAGTGTAAAGACTGGAAAGCAGTTGAAAATGATGACCCATGGGCGGTAGAGCCGTTGTGTTACTGGATAAAAAACTACTGTTTTAATGGTAAATTGAGCACCACAAACATAAAGGAATTGCAGCAAAAAATAAAAACAAAAAGCAAAAATAAAGACACTTTGATGGCAAAAGAAGGTTACATGCAAACCATGGGTTGGATGAAATTAGTAGGACAGAGAGAAGAGGCAGAGCGCAGAGCTAAAAGAGAGAGAGAGGAGAGACAAAGAAAAGAGAAAGAAGGGAAAGAAAGAGAAAGTGAAGAAAGAAAAAAGGAAAAGGAGAGATCAATAATGTTTCATAGAAAGGAAGATGATGAGTACGTAGGGCCCTATTCTGACCTGCTACATCAAATACATAATCTCCCACAAATGGGAGGTGCTGCCGCTGCAGCCGATCCCTCAGCTCCCCCACTCACGGGGGATCCTCCACAATATACTCCCCCACAGCATATACCTCCTCCAGAAGGATCATTGAAAACAGCCCCTCTTCAAGCAGCTTCTCCACAAGCTAATACCTCCCAGGGATATGCTACTAGGTCCAAAGGGTCCGTAGGAGATTGGTCAAAAACTTTAGCGACAACATTTAGTGACATTCTGTCCCCACAGGCACTCCGAGTGATGCCTGTAAAACAGGAAGGTGTAGGAGAAGTCCTTACGCTTCCTTTAATAGAATTACCAAACCCCTTAGCGGGCCAGGTTGAAGGAAATAACCGACAACCAGCCACAATAATGGTATATAGAACCTGGACACAGGAAGATGTTAGAAAAGCAGTAGAAGGAATTCCCCCTCCAAAGGAGGATGTAGAAGAATGCATAATTCAAATGGAAAATCTGAGAAAATCTTACCATTTAAATGGTGCAGAGGTTCAGCAAGTCTGGATGTGCCAATTAGGATCAGAATGGCACCATGTTAAAGGGAATTTTGTGCCAACTACAAACGCTGATCCTCCTACCCCTTTGCAACCAGACTCCACAGACTTAGGAACAGCAGTTGAGCATTTGATTAATCGTATCAGGGCCAGATATCAGAAGAAAGCAAATTATACAGAGATAGGGAGATGCAAGCAAAAGCAGGACGAGTCTTTCGATGAATACAGGGTAAGGATGGAAAAAAAACTTTTCAGGGCACATAGTGGACTGCTTTTAAATGAAAATAAATGAGGGGGCTTTTAAAAAACAGCAGTTAAGGGGGGGGGAATGCACTGCAGAAAGGTAAATTCCCAAAAAATTTCAAAGGAGGGGTTGAGCGCCACCACATAGACATGAGTGGGGAACCCCTCCAACAATATCTAAATCACGCCCTGCATGCGGGAAAAAGTCAAAAAAGTAAAAAAAAATTTAAAAAGTAAAAAAACCCACTGTGTTTTATCAGGGGGAGGAGGACACTGTGGTTTTATCAGCAGTCCGGGGTAGGGGCCGAGGCAGGGGCCGGGGAAAGGGGGAAGGGGTTTTTAAATCACGCTAAATTTGAAAATTTCCCCAGGTGTGTTGGTCATGGGGAAAAAAGAGGCCACATGGCTAGGCACTGTCGAAGCAACCCACAAAATTCAGGGAGCTAAAGGCATGACTAGAGAGCGCCCATTTTCAAATTAGAGAGAAAGGGGAATAAAAAAATGGATTTTTAAAACCCTAAAAAAATTTGTTTTTTAAAAGAAAAAATGACCTGAAATAGCCCAGGGCCCGGGGCACTCCTGTAAAATTTTTTTTGGTGCGATACGGGAGCATGCAGGCCCAACCTGTAAAAGAAACCATACCACATGCCCCTTTAAGTTCAAATTACTCAATAGTCCCGTGCGCCCCAAAAGGTGTCAAAAAAAAAGGTTTCCCAGAGACTGACCGTTGTGGTTCAACCCCCAAAAAGGGGAAAATCATGTCAGCGCCTTTTTAGGGTTGCCTGAATGTCCATTTAAACCTTTTGGGGCAGAGATGGCCGGTGGCGCTTTTTCCCTAGCCATCATGCCAACCCCAAAAGGGGCCTTAAAAATTCATCAGACAAAAATCTGAAAAATGTTTGTTCTCGGGGGAAAACGGGAAACCCCCCAAAATACTACTACGCCTTAGATTTTCCAAAAATAAAACCCCCCAGGGCCACTGGACTTATCTTAGGGGAGGAAGGAAAAACAGGCAGTCGAATGTACAAGATAAAATTTCCTCCTGATATCTGAAAATGAAACCATGGGGTTTATAGGGGCCCAACCAGAGGCCCATTAAGCAACACTAGAAAAAAGCTACCCCTAAAAAAAAATCCCCAAGTTTTCTTATGTTTCCCTCTGATTTTTGGAGTTTTAGCTCCGCAAAAGGCAATTAC